ACATCGTTCATTGATCTGGTGTAGATTATTGTTTTTCAAGTTGCATTTACAATTTTCCTCATTTTCAGTAACCAGTTTGGGTCTCAATTACAATAGTTCAAAGCAACACTGAGTATTTAAAGAGAGGTCACTTCATTGTGTGCACATCACTCTGGGACAACATCCTGAAGTCATAAAAGGTCCTGGAAGCATATATAAAAATATCTTTTTACTTCTTATGCAGAATTTCTATACAAGAGCTCTTTGCATGTGAACAAACCTGAAGTTAGTAAAGGGCCCGCATCAGCATTACTGTTTAAGCGAGGAAAGCCACAATACTGTCAAGCATTTAGGTCCGAAATCTGGAATACGGTGCACAATTTGATCATCAAGATGCCATCAAAACATTCAGGCTCCATAAATGTTGCAATTAACAGCCATGAGGGGCATCCTGAGAATCAAATCATTATTTCTTTTTAAAAAAATATTTTTACACTGTATTTGGGATGTGTTGCTAGCAAAGACAGCATATGTTGCTCATTCATTAATTACTGTTAGAAGGTAGAGGTGATCTGCCCTCTTAAATCACTGCAGTCGAGAGAGAGAACGAGAGTGAGACCAAGCGAGAGAGCGAGCGAGAGAATGGTCACCATGCCTCGGGTGAGGTTGAGAAGCAGAGATCCTCCCAGTAAGCCCAGCCAGTGCGGGAACTGAACCCATGCATCACTCTGCATCACAAACCCACCATCCAGACAAATGAAATAACCAGCACCTCTGTGACTTTGAATTTGAATGTATGTTTCTGGTGCTAAGTACAGGCCAAGGTGCTGTGGGGAAGGAACTTTGAGAGTTTTGACCCAGCAAAGTGAAGGAACAGCAATTTGGTTCCAAGATAAAATGGTGCATGGCTTGCATGGGAACTTGCAGTCATCCCCATGAATCTGCTGCCTTCGAGGCCATGGAGGTGATGAATTTGCAAAGTGCCGCTGAAGGAGGTTGCTTCTTGTCGATGGTTCACACTGCTGCCATTGTGCATTAGTAGTGGAGAGAGTGAATGGGGTGCCTACCAAGCAGTCTGCTTTGTCCTGAATGATGTTGAGATTCATGAATACTATTGGAGCTACACTCATCCAAGCAGGTGGAGAATATACCATCACACTTCAGACTTGGGCTGCTGCCATACTTGCCATTCATCAGTTCAAGCCTGAGTACTGCCCAGGCCTTGTTGTCTGTGGACATGAACTATTCCAGCATCTGAACAGCAAATGGCAATGGACATTGTGCAATCATCAGCTAACATCATCCACTACTGACTTTATGTTGGACGGAAGGCGATTGATGAAGCAGCTGAAGATGGTTGGGATGAGGACGCTACCCTGAGGAACTCCTGCAAGGATATTCTCGGACTGAGATGATTGGCCTCCAAGAACCATCTTCCTCTGTGTTAGGTATGGCACCAACTAGCAGACAGTTTTCAACCGATTTCCATTGACTCAATGTTTTTGAAAGCTCCTCAATACCACGCTCAATCAAATACTGTCTCGATGTCAAGGGCAGTCATTCCTACCTCATTTCTGGAGTTCAGCTCTTTTGTCCATGATTGTGTTATGATTGTAATGAAGTCAGGAGCTCAGTGGCCCTGGAGAACCCAAACAGAGCATCAGTGAGTAACTGCGACTCAATAACACTATGATGACCCTTCCATCATTTTGCTGGTGATCAACATTAGTTTCGCCAGGTTAGATTTGTTCTGCCTTTTAATGGACCGGATGTCTCCGAACAATCTTCTACATTGCTGGGTAGGTGCCACTGTTCTGAAACTGTACTGGAATAGTTTGGCTGGGGATGGAGCTAATTCTGGCAACACAAGTCTTCAGTACCAATGTCTGAATGTTGTCAGGGCCCATAACCCTTGCAGTGTTCAATGCCTTCGGCTGATTCATGATATTATGTAGAGTGACTTAAGTTTGCGCAAGACCAGCATCTTGGGGACCTCCAGAGGAGGCCGAATTGCATTATTCACTCAACACTTCTGGCTGAAGGTGGAAGCAAACGCTTCAGCCTCTTGCAATGATGTGCTGGGCTCCCCATCACTGAGGATTGGGATATGTGTTGATTCTCCTCAAATTCTATTTAGAAAGGACGCAACCGAGAGAGAAACCTGATGTTGGAAAATAAATTAAGCTTTATAGATTGCAGTCATGTTTCTGATATACCAAAGTAAGGAAAAATTAAAAAGACAATAAAGAAATAGGTTAAGTCTATTGAATGGTCAAGTTAAGACAGATAGCAGGAGGATCACCCCATAACATGATGAATGCTTAGGGGAGTGCAGTGGAAACACAGGCCAGAAACACATTCAGCAATCCAACCTAAAAGTCTGACTGAGGAGCTGCAACCGGCTAAGATAAGATCAACTCATCCTCATCTGTATTCATCTTGAGATTATTGAAAAAAAAATAAAATTTAGCTGTTAGATGTATAGGCTGCAATTTTTCACACTGTAGAAAAGTGACATTTCCTTTCTTTCTGTTTCAAAGCCTAACTTTTAAAAAAAAAATGCATTTTTAGTTCTAGTCAGCAAAAGACCTGAGCAAATTGGGTCCAACTGCCTGCAAAATCACAAACTCAAAATGCATTTTCTTTTAAAAAAAACCAATCCATCAATCCATTTTAAGAAAACCGGGTTACCCAATCAGGCAAACAAACGCAAATTGAATTTAATCATTCTTGTGTTAAGAATGTGATTGTACATGTGCTAAAACAGATGAAATCCACGAATGAAGTCATGATAAATATCAAAAAACTGAAAGAACTGTGGATGCTGGAAATCAGAAGCAAATGTTATGATAAATATCAAACTAAACTTTCTTTTAAGAGGCGATTAATGTTGAATGAGTTGTTGACAGAGTTGACTCAGTTCAGACAGATGAGAAACAGGATTTGGCAAATGAAATAATGGTGCCTTTGAAAAGTTCACTCGGTTGGTTCCTAGGAATGAAGGGATTGCCCTATGAGAACTGATTGAATAGGCTGAGTCTATGTTTCCTGAAGTTTAGAAAAATAAGGGGTGATCTCACTGAACCGTATAAAGTCTTAAGGTGCTCAAGAGCTCCTTTTCTTGACTGGGGAGCCTCAAAGTAGAGGTCACAGACACAGAGTTGGCCATTTAATATTGAGACGAGGAGAAATTTCTTAATTTAAAAAATGAAGGCACCAGGCACCAGCAGAGGCTCAGTCATTCTGTGTATTTAAGATGGATAGATTTTTGGATATTAAGGAATATGGATAGTGAAGGAAGATAGTGCTGGTACTGAATAGCAGAGCAAGCCTGTAGGACATAATAGCTTATTCTTGCTTTTTATTATAATGTTTTCAAATGTCAAATAGCAGATTCTGCAAATGTTCCTACCAAATCAACAGAAAGAAATTTTGCCAACAGTAATATACATGCTACATTTGTAATAACTGCTTTACCTCATCTCAGCCTTGATCATAGAATCATAGAATTCCTACAGTGTGGAAGCAGGCGATTTGGCCCATCGAGTCCACACCAACCCTCCGAAGAGTATCCCACTCAGACCCACCCCCTTCCCCTATCTTTGTAATTCTGCATTTCCCATAGCAATTTTCCCTTGATCTTATTTCTTACCCCACATCCCTTTCCATGCCGATTCTCCTCCCTTCCTCTCATAAAGGCTCTGACTTTTGAGACTGGCTGTAACACTATGTGATCTTTAGGTGGTAGTTGTCCCATTCCCTAAGTAATAGCTGAAAGTGACCCAGAACCGTACACAGTCCTGAAGTTGGCTCTCAGCAGGCTAATCCAACATGAGGATCATGGCAGCTCAGTGTCCTCATGGGATAGGTTTGTAGAATTTTACAGTACGGGAGGCCATTCAACCCATCATGTATGTACTTGGTCCTGAAAGACTTACACAGCTAGTCCCATTCTCCAGCCCTATCTCTGCAGCCCTCTCAATGCAGCACTTTCAAATATATATCCAGTTCTCTTTTAAAACCTCCTATGGAATCGGTCTCCACCAGTCTCTTAAGCAGTGTATTCCAAATGCCAACAACCCCCTAAGAAGTTTCTCCTCATCTCACTCCTAGCTCTCTTGCTCACCACCTTGAAACTGTGACCCCGAGTTACTGACATACTGACTAGTGGAAACATCCACCTGCCCTCCTCAGCAATCGTCTGAGCAGGAGTCAGCAAGGTAGAGATCTGGAAGAAGCTTGGTTGACTTCACATACCCCAGAGAGTTCTGGGGAAAACTGGCTAAGACAGACAGAAACACAGGAATTAGGAGCAGGGGTAGGCCATTCGGCTTTTTGAGCCTGCTCCGCCATTCCATATGACCATGGCTGATCTTCCAACTTTCCTACTTTCTTCCCAAATCCTTTGATCCCTTTAGCGCTAAGAACTATATCTAACTGCTTCTTGAAAGCATTCAATGTTTTAGCCTCAACCATTTTCTGAGGCAGAGAATTCCACAGACTCACCACTCTCTGGGCATAGACGTCTCTCCTCATCTCAGTCCTAAATTACCTACCCTCGCACCCTTGGATTGTGACACCCCACCACCACCACCCCCGACCCCGACCCCGACCCCAACCCCAACCCTCCCCACCATCCCCCGATTCTGGACTCCTCGGTCATCAGGAACATCCTCCCTATGTTTATCCTGTCCAGTGATATCACATTGACTGAACCCTGGCACATAAATAGCTGCTGCACTTTGCCCTGTGCTAATATCAGTCAGCCAAGGCCCTCACATGTAATTCTAATCACTATTGAGAATAACAGTAGCCAAATACCTGCTGTAAGTTTCTGCACTGGAAATCACAAGTGTGCTGTAAATAAAAACCTACCCCCAACCGGGAGAGTTTAATACTTGAAGTACCAGTGATTTGGTTAATATATCCATTGCACCAGACATCAAACTTCAGTCTAACTTCACTTATGTACACAGGAGTCAACACAAATGGGTAACATTTTCTGCATGCTGAGTGCCTACCTTACTGAGGTAATCATGAATGCTCATTGTGGTCAGTTTGCTCAAGTGTCCGTTGAGCCCAAGTGCCATCAGCAGGCCAGCGTACTCGTTGGTGAGCTCAGTGTTCTTCTGTCTGTTGTACACGATCCAGGCAGAGTCTATCTGGGACGCCGGGGCTACTTTCAGTCCTGCAGCTACTCCATTATGAAAGCTGGCCCAACTGGCCATGTTGGGTGGCACATCAATGTTCCCGCTGTTCAGGTCAACGGTTGTGTTTCGGGGAGGAGCTCGTCCTAATTAGCAGTGGAAGGCAACACAAACGCCAATTAACTGTTAGAGATAGTAGGAACTGCCGATGCAGTTAATCTGAGATAACAAGGTGTAGAACTGGATGAACACAGCAGGCCAAGCAGCATCAGAGGAGCAGAAAAGTTGACGTTTCAGGTCTGACCTGAAACATCAGCTTTCCTGCTCCTCTGATGCTGCCTGGCCTGCTGTGGTTATCCAGATCTATACCTTGTTATCACCAATTAGGTGTTTATAGTTTTAAAAAGAAAAATCCCGAAAGTAGATTAGGGCAGCAAAGAAGGTTATCTCAGAGTACAATGGGACCTTGATCAGTTGGGCCAATGGCCGAAGAGTGGCAGATGGGGTTTAATTTAGATAAATGTGAGGTGCTGCATTTTGGAAAGGCAAATCAGGGCAGGACTTATACATTTAATGGTAGGGTCCTGGGGAGTGTTGCCGAAGAAAGAGATCTTGGAGTGCAGGTTCATAGTTCCTCAAAAGTAGAGTCCCAGGTAGATGGAATAGCGAAGAAGGCGTTTGGTATGCTTGTCTTTATTGGTCAGTGCATCGAGTATAGGAATAGGGAGGTCATGTTATGGCTGTACAAGACATTGGTAAGACCACTGTCGGAGAATACTGCGAGCAATTCTGGTCTCCTTACTACAGGAAGGATTTGTGAAACTTGAAAGGGTTCAGAAAAGATTTACAAGGATGTTGCCAGGGTTGGAGGGTTTGAGCTATAGAGAGAAGCTGGAGCTATTTTCCCTGGACCGTGGAGGCTGAGGGGTGACCTTATAGAGGTTATAAACTCATGAGGGGCATGGATAGGGTAAATAGACAAGGTCTAAAGGGCATAGGTTTAAGCTGAGAGGGGAAAGATTTAAAAGGGACCTATGGGGCAACTTTCTCATGCAGAGGGTAGGGTGTGTATGCAATGAGTTGCCAAAGAAAGTGGAGGCGACTGATACAATTACAACATTTAAAAGGCATCTGATGGGTATATGAATAGGAAGGGTTTAGACAGATATGATTAAATGCTGGCAGATGGGCCTAGATGTATTTAGGATATCTGATCAACAGGGATGAGTTGAACCGAAGGGTCTGTTTCCATGCTGTGTATCTCTATGACTCTATGACAAGAACAATTACATGGAAAATACAGCAAAGTACTAGGTCAAGCTAGTTCTTGCTGGAATTTATGCTCAAAGAACTGACTTTATAGACTACTAGTCAAAATGAATTTGTGTTGATATATATGCCTTTAACATCAAGACATTATAAGATATTTCACAGTTAATGACGTACACCTGATGTTAAAGCACTGCTGTAATAATGCAACAAACGCTTCCATTTATTTATCAATGTTAATGCAGGCAAGCATTTGAATGTAAAACAGACAGAGCTGGAGAAACTCAGCAGGTCTGGCAGCATCAGTGGAGACAGAAACAGAGTTAACATTGAGCTCAGTGACCCTTCATTATAAGGTTTCAGGACTTGAAATGTTAACTCTGTTTCTCCCCATAGATGCTGTCAGACCTCCAGCACTTTTCTTTCAGATCTCCAGCATTCATTGTTCTTTGCTTATTTTAGCATCTGAAGGTTTCCCATAACTGTGCAATGAGACAAAAAAATGGATATCGAGTTATGCAAGCAGATATTAGATGAGTTTTAAGTAGCTAACTCAATGGAAGGACTGTAGGAAGGAAGACTACATGGACCACAAGATTAACAAATAACACTAACAATGTTAGAATTTTACAGATTTCTGAGATCCCTGCATCTTTGTTTTAAACCCCAGTGAATAAAATCCTGACCAATCCAGTCTCTCATCATACGTCAGTCCTGCCATCCCAAGAATCAGTCTGGTGAACCTTTGTTGCACTTGCCCCATTGCCAGATCATCCTTTCCCAGGTTAGAAAACCAAAACTGCTCAGAATGCTCTTGGAGTGCTCTCACCAAGGCCCTGTATAACTGCAGCAAGACATCTCTGGTCATGTATTTGAATCCTTTCACTGTGAAGCCCAACATACCGTTTGCCTTCTTCACCACCTGCTGTACCTATGCACTTATTTTCAGATATTGGTGCACAAGGACTCCCAGATCTCACTGCACCTCCCCTTTTCCCAATCTATCATTGTTCAGAAAATAATTTACCTTCCTATTTTTGCAGCCAAAGCACAAAATCTAAAAACCTCCCATTTATCCATATTATATTGCAGCTGCTTTGCATGTGCCTACTCACTCAACTTGGCCGAATCACACGAATGCATCTCTGCTTCTTCCTCTCAGTTTGTGTCAGCTGCAAACTTGGAGATATGACATTTAATTCCCACACGTAAATCAATCACATATATTGTGAACATCTGGGGTTGAAGCACTGATCCCTGCAGTAACCCACTGGTCACCAGTTGCCACTCAGAAAATAACCCATTTATTCGCACTCTTTATTTTCTGCCTGCCAACCAATTCTTTATCCATGTCAGTACACTACCCCAATTTGAAGAACAAGGAACAGTACAGCTCAGGAACAGGCCCTTCGGCCCTCCAAGTCTGCGCAACACATTTTACATGTACTTTAATTTTAATCTCTTACGTGGGCCTCTATCAAAAGCCTTCTATCAGTTTCCCAACGCCATCTCTCTATTCATACTGATTTCCTTCAGTTTCTCCCCCTCACTAGACCCTACGTTCCTTAACATTTTTGAGATGTTATTTGCGTCCTTCTTTGTAAAGACAAAACCAAAATATGTATTTAATTCACCTGCCATTTCTTTGCAACCTATTATAATATCCCCCGTTTCTAACCATACAATTGTCTTCAATAATCTTTCTCTTCGCATACCGAATTACATTTTTACAATCTGTTCATATGTTATCCTCAAGCTTACTCTTGAACTCTATTTTCCCCCTTTTCAACAATCCCTTTGTCCTCCTTTATTAAAATCTGAACTGCTCCCAATCGTCAGGTCTGCTGCTCTTTTTGGTCATTTATATGCCCCTTCCTTGGATCTAATACTATCCCTAATTTCCCTTATTAGCCACGGTCGGGCTACCTTTGCTGTTTTATTTTCCTTCCAGGTAATAAGGAATAATTGCTGCAGTTACTCCATTCACTCTCTAAACGTTAGACATTGCCTATACACCACCATTCCTTTAAGTAGCATCGTCAAATCAATCATAGCCAGCTCGTACGTCATACCACCGTAGCTTCCGTTATTTAGATTCAGGACCCGAGGCTCAGAATCAACACTATCACTCTCCATCTTAATGAAGAATTCTATCATTTCAACCAATGATCACATACATACACACGCACAGACACCCAAATTTCAAATACGTTGTCAGATTCCAATTCCGAGGTCATTGAAACGAACTGTAGAAACACTAACAACTTAGCCTCTGATGAACTACTGAAGAACTACTTTAGGAAGGTGCTTTTCACCTGCTTAATGTGTAAACCCTGGCCCGGTTCTTGAGCTTGCACTTAATAGCTATGTGTTCCTTCTTTTAACCTCTCCCCAAATTTGGCATCTTCTGTAACCTTTAAAGTTCACACTGAATTGTCTCCGGAGAAAAGTCACTTTCTCTAATCTTCTGTTCATAAGTCAAGGAATCTGACACAAGGGATCAAATAATCACCTTTCTTCTTCCCTGGCAATCCATAAACATCAAGGATGACTCTTTCACTTAGAGTTGTGCATGTTAAACAGGGCGGAGCTGGGTCCACACGCCCTGCACAGTGGGAGTGGTGGTGTTTGATGAGCTGGGTGTGTAAGATGTTTGGATTCTTTCGCACACTCCTTCCACTTGGCCTCCACCAGGACCCGTCAGAGTTGCTCAAAACAGTTGGCATCTTCACAGATGCTCCTGCTCCAGTTGGGGGCAGCCTCGGGCAGTCAGCGAGGACGCTGCATTTTTCAGGGAGGCCCTGAGGACGCCCCAAAATGCTTTTTCCGCCTGCATGAGAACTAGTTGCCCTGACAAAGCTCACAGTACAAGTATGTGAACAATGTGGCTTGTCCAATGCAGCTGACTGGCAGTAACCAGCACCTCAGTACTGGAGATGTTGGCCCTGAGAGACGGCAGAACATGAAGTGTTGTGAACTGAAAGGAGAATAGCATGAAAACCCAAAAGGTCCTGAACAAGATGGTGGACTGGGCCGACTTGTGGCAGATGAAACTTCATGCTGATTAGAATGAAGTGATACATTTGGAAAATCGTGAATCCGGAAGGAGTTAGAGACAGAGAGAGGAGTGAGCATACAGAGGGATTTGAGCACAAAGGTGCGAACTTGAAGACATGGAACCATTATAGGTCAGCAAACAGAGGGGTGACGGGTGATTATGACTTCTTATTCAAACCTTCACTACTTCAGGCACTTTGATGTTTCCCTTCCCTGCTAGCTGACCCAAAACTAAGCTCAATACTCAAAATTTGTCTTAATCATTGCATTGCACTATTTCAGTTTGACAATCGCCAACATTTTCTCCCACAATTTTGTCCATATAATGAGACTTTCAGATTGTTGTGTCGATTTCTGCTCCATAAATGTTTAGCCATAAATATCAACGTATTCAATCTTTCCTTCAAGTCACACAGCAACATTACACGGACGCTTATTGAGTGAGTCACAGGAAACAGTGAGTTAGTGATGAATAGTTGTTGTTAGGACTGTACAGAGGTTTGTAGTAGGATTTCCCATGGGGTGGTGTGAGGATCTCTGCTTTCGACACTTGTGCACACAGGGTCTAAATTCACAGACCATAAAAAACCTGAAATATTATAAACTGAAACTGCAAAACGTCCTAGACAGGCTGGTGTACTGGGTTGTCTTGCGGCAGGTGAAACTTAACAAAGCGTAGAACAAAGTGATACTTTTTGGTAGGAAGAATGGAGGCAACAGAAAATAAAGGATTGCATTCTAAAAGGGGTGAAGGAGCAGAATGGGAATATCTGCACAAATCAAAGATGCCAAAACAGGCTGAGAAAGTGCTTAATGAAGGAAATGGCATCCTGGGTTTAATAAATGTTGGGTATAAATGTGCAAAGAATGGTATCTTTCCACCTACATGAGATGATGGGAATGCACACTCCAAATATCACTGACAACCATTGAGCTCACCTGCTGCACTGCTTTTGCAAGGCTGAACGAGCTAATTCTGAAAGGGTGGTTTTGCCATCCCAAAGCCAGAGGAGGCAGTGGCCAGCACTTTGACTACAAGCCGTATCCAGTTTTGAAGCCCTTGCTTCCAGGATTGAACAGGTTGGAAATCGGTGGGAAAATCACCAGGGGAACTGTACACTACCTTACCCACACCTTGCCTGCAAACCTGCAGCAGGGCAGTGCAAAATTCTGTCTCACATGTTGCCGTGCAGAAATTTAAAAAAAAACATGCAAACAAGAAAAAAAATGAAGAGAACAGCAACAAAGAAGTTATGATAAATGTCTACAAAGCACTGGTTCTCCCTCGACTGGAGCATTTTATGCAGATCTGTGTTCCTCCCTTGGAGGGATAAGAAGGAATTAGAGAAAATGCAGAAAACAGGCACAAGAGTGATTCCAAAGATAAGGAACTTCAGTTACACGGAGAGATTGGAGAATCCGGAGCTGTTCTTGGAGAAAAGGATAATAAGTGGAACTTTGAAAGAAGTGCTCGAAAATGACATGGAGTCTGAACAAAGTAGATAGGGAGAAACTGTTCTGATTGGTAGGATCAAGAGCCGAAGGACACTGCTTTGAGGTGACTAGCAAAGGAAGAACAGAGATATGAGGGAAAGGCTTTTTAATCCAGCCATTTGCTAGGATTTGGAATTCATCGCCAGTATATATATTCGAGGACTCCAAAAAACATTGGATATTCACAGAATGGTACATGAAGTTTGAAAAGTCTGGAATTAAGAGTCTAATTCTGACCAAAAAATTGTCATCAATGGTCGGAAAAATCCACCTAGTTCACTAGTGCCCTTTAGGGAAGGAAACTGCTGCTCTTACCTGGTCTGGCCTACATGGGACTCCAGACCCACAGCAATGTGGTTGACTCTTAATTGCCTCTCGGCAATAAGGGATGGCCAATTAATGCTGCCTAGTCAGCAATGCTGACATCCCATGAACGAACTTTTTGAAAAAATTCATGCAGTATGGAAGAAGCCCTTCAGTCATCGAGTATACACTGACAAAACTACACTAAATCTACACTAGTCCCACTTGCTAGCACTTGGGCCATAGCCGTGAATATTGCCTTTCACATGCTCATCCAGATTCATTTTCCAAAGGTCCCCACCTCAACAACTCTCCCAGGCAGTGCATTCTAGACCCCCACCACCCTTTTTTTTAACCTCAAATTACCTCTAAAGCTCCAGTCCTTCACGTTAGAATTATACCTTGTTATTGACCCTTCGACTGAGATCAGCCACTTTCTGTCCATGCCCCTCACTATCCTATACACCTCTATCAGGATCACTCGTCAAGCCTTCTCTGCTCTCAAGAAAACAATCCAAGCTTATTCAGCTTCTTTTCCTAGCTAAACTGCTCCAACCCAGGCCAACATCTTGGAGGATGTTCTGAGGAAGGGTCACCGGACCCGAAACGTTAACTCTGTTTTCTCCTTCACAGATGCTGCCAGACCTGCTGAGCTTTTCCAGCAACTTTGTTTTTGTTCAACATCCTGGAGGATTTCCTCTGCACTCTCTCCACTGCAATCGCATCATTCCTGTGACCAGACTGCACAGTGCTCCAGCTGAAGCCTAACTAAAGTCTTCAGGATATTATCCAAAAAGAAAAATAAAAATCAGCAAGGCTGAGTTCTCCCCTGCATTGTAACTATTCATGATTCTATGCCTTCATCAGCCATTCATTTCTGGAATTTCCAGCCTGTATCGCCTTAGGGAGATTATTAGCTCATGAGCAGTTCAAGAAAACTTCATCTCACTTTCTTGTGGCCACTAGAGAGTGACATTTGTTCCAAGGTGCAGAAACAGGCCATTTGGCCTGTCTGACGGATGCTAGCATTTGCACACCACACAAGCTTTGATCATCTAAACCGATCGTCTAAACCAATCGTCTAAACATGTTCTCACTAACATCACCCACAGGCTGAGAACAAAATGGGAAATTTGCTTGCATAGTCAGCTCAACAACATGCAAACATTTTCGTCAACTGTGCACTACATAGCTCACAGAATTGTATTTGCCTCAGGCAAATGTTTGAGGTTTTTGGATAGGTCTTTGCATGAATGACAGCATTGTACAAAATCAATCCAACGCAGAAAATACTCCCGGATTCATATGCTGGAACAGTTGAAACTTTTGTTCCTTCCATGTAACTCACTGCTTTTGTCGAAACCAAACTTTTACCACAGGAAAGTTTCAAACTGCACAGTCCAATTATATGCAAATAGTCAGGAAAACAAGACCATTGCAGATGAGCAAATCTGTGTTTAAACAAATGAGATAATGTTCGAGATGACACATTAAGCTGAAGCCATTTCATATATTCCGTATTGAAAAAAAGCTAACAGTTAAGTATTTTTCAAACTGACAGCTGAGTGGTTCGGAAATTAAAATTACTGTGCAAATGAAAAAAACCCATCAAACAGCAGCAGTGAGCAGAATGGACAGTGACAGTCAGTTGTAATATTGCCTACAATTTACTTGATAAATTGTCATTTTGGTGGTAAATTTTGTCCCTTTGTGATTTTTTGGAGGAGTGGTGGTGAAAAGGGAGGGATAAAGGGGAGAAGAGAGAGAAAGAGGGAGGGGCAGGATGGCGACCGAGACAGGGTGCACAGCACTGGCATCCACCTGACAATGTGGAAAAATTGCCCAGTTGTGTGCTGTACACAAAAAGCAAATCAAATTCAACTCAGCCAGTTACCATCCCATCGGTCTACACTTGACTATCAGGAAAGTGATGGAAGGGGTTGTCAACAGTGCTATCAAGCAGCACATGCGAAGGAATAACCTGTTCACTGACGCTGTGTTTTATTGGTGAACACTTGGCTCCTGATCTCCTTACAGCCTTGGTCAAACATAGGCAGCAGAGCTGAATACCAGAAGTCAGGCAAGAGCAACTACTTTTGGCACCAAGGTAGCGTTTAACTGAATATGCCACTGGGGAGCTCATACAAAACTACAGTCAATGAGAATCAGAGATAAGCTCTCAGCTGGCTGGAGTCATACCATGACCAATGAAGATGGCTACAGTGGTTGGAAGTCAAGCATCTCAAAACCAGGACATCTCTGCCAAAGTTCCTCAGGATAGTGTCCTAGAGCAGAGTAACCTTTGGGAGGACATAATTAAGGTCTCCACAGTGATGATGGGCATTGACAGGATGGAGAGGAAGAAACTTTTCCCTTCGTGGAGGGATAAATAACTAGGGGGCATAGATTTAGGGCAAAGAACAGGAGATTGAGAGAGGATTTAAGGAAGAATTTTTTCAACCAGAAGGTGATGTGTATCTGGCACTCACTGCCTGAAAGGTTAATCGAGGAAGGAACCATCACAACATTTAAGAATTGTTTAGACAATCACTTGAAGTGCCATGGTATACAAGGCCACGGACCAAGTGCTGGACTTGATGGGCTACATGGCCTGCTTCCACACTGTAGGAATTCTATGAAATGACAAACAGCAGCGGGTCCAGCACAAATGCTGGTCGTAGGCCTCCAGTCCACAAAACAACCCTCTACCACCACCCTCTGTCTCCCAGCATCATAGCTTTTAGAGCATGCAAAGACCCTTCAGCCCAATGTGTCCATGCCAGTGATTGGACTGGATTTTGCTCATTTATCAACCACGATCGGGTAATTAATTAGTAATTGTGTATTTATGTAGGGGTGTGAAGTTGAGAGATGGGGAAAAGGGAGGGAGGGGTGTCAGGGAAGGAATAGGAGGGAGAATGGTAGGGGAGAGGGAGAACAGAGAGGCAGGAGGAGCGGGAGGCGGGGGGGGAGCAGAGGGAAGAATGGAGTGATGTGAAGGATGGAGGGTGGAAAGTGACAGAGACAGGGTAGGAGAGATGGAGGGCTGGGCAGGAAAGACTGGGAGGCAGGGTTCAGGGAGAGAGAGAGGGGTCAAGGGAGAAAGCAGTTGAGTGGCTAAAAGGGCACATTAAGGGGCAGGTCATGGCAGAGAGTTATGGTGAAGGAACTAAAGATAGGAAAGGGCATACAGAGACAGAAGAGCTGGGGTAGTGAGGATGGGGTACAAGCCAGAGATTAAAATAGTCTTCAATTCAATAACATACTGTAATCGCAAACCCAACTGAACCAAGGTGATATTTTCATTTCGTTTATCAGTCATCATAATTCATCTGAAAAGATTGCTGGTATTTGAAGATTAGTTTCGAATGAAAGCAGTTGTGAGCTGTGGCCTCTCACTCAGTTAAAAATGAGCTGCAATTGCCTGAGAGCGTTGCACAGAAGCCATCTACAACCAGTAACAAATGCTGACTTTCAGTATGACTGCAGAGCGAAACTCAGGTACAAGGACACTGTCAATCTCTCTTTCTCTCTCTCTCTCTCTCAGCGATGCAACAGCTGGTTTTCCATACAGCGATCTGTTCAAACATGTGAAACCAGCTGATTTCCAGGAATGTGAACACCACCATAACAACTTGAACAACATATCACAGGCTCGATCGGGAAATACGCACCGGTGAGATTTAATTTTGGAATAGGAAGTGGCTCAGTTGGTACTGGATGGTAAGAGAACAGAGTAAACATCCCTCTTCCTGGAGGAAGTGCCATAGTTCTTTGACACAGTTGTAGTAACCTGTCCCAAAGTTAAAAAAATGAATTTTATAATAAGGAATAGATAATTGAAAATATACTACAATGTGGAACTATATATTGGTCCCTATCATAAAGTGTTTGGCAACCAAATTAAGCAGACACATACGAGACAGGAAACACTACGCTGTGTTAAATAGTTGTGTATAAGACATTAGACAAAGCAAAGGGACACAGAAACACAGGTTACGCAGCTCCATTCAATTAGACCCATGGCTAACCTAAAATGCTTTGGTTTCATGACCATTAATTTTTTCTGTCAGGAAAATTGAAACTTTCAACTGATTCATCTTCAGGATTTAGAGAGCAAATGCTAAACATCTCTGCAAAAGGGATCCAGAATTATGTCGTGAATTGCAATGGTTTAAGCACAATTAGCAACACAGGCTAAGTTTCCCCTTTTCAAAATGGTGGACCTGATAAAGCAAGGATTGGACACACCACCCCACAATCTAAATGGCGGTTATTGGAGACCATGGTGGGGATCGTTGAAGGTAGAAATGAAGGTTTGGAGCGTTGGAGGAGAGGCGTGGGGGAGAGAAAGGAAGTGCTAAGATTTCCATGAGGAATGTGTTTCATCTCTGAATCAAACTGAGGTGAACAAAAGGGCAGACCAGTAATTTCCTGTTTATTGGAATCTAATAAACTGCTGTACTGAGGTGTGCATTATGTCAGAGCCCTGCCCAAACCACAGAAAGTAAATAGTTCTATTAAAAACAGAGTTCAGACCAAAACATTTCAGTGCAATTCTTCATATTTGGTGTAACCACGGGTTAAGGATCTGAGTAGTTGAAATGTATAGAAAAGGAAAGCCACAAGTTCAATTGCAGGTTTGTACCAGATTAGTACATCTCAGCCATGCTTTCCAGGCCAGCCGTTGACCAGAGAATTGAATCTGGGTGTGACGACTGTAACAGTAAATCTGGTTGTAACTTCCCCCTTCCCAATCTCGCACGCTCCCCACCACAGCTGAATCCTCCGCTGCCAACATCGTTTGAGCTCAGCCATTGAAGAGTATAGTCCCTTTGTAAAGGCACTGGAGGCTGATGAGCGCTACAACCCAGCCGAGGATCGGTGCCCCACGACCCCCAGCCGAGGATCGGTGCCCCACGACCCCCAGCCGAGGATCGGTGCCTTCCACAAGGAAGCTGATAGCTGAAAAAATTGATAAAGAAATAGCAGAAGTCCATACATTAGTTCTTAACACTTTTGTCAAGTCTCACCAATAGAATAAAAGAACTTGAATTTGTATCGTGCCTTTCATGACCCTAGAACCTTCCAACGCATTTGAAAGCCAATCAAATGCTTTCAATGTGAAGGATAAGTGACAGTCAATTTACACACAGTGAGATCCCGCAAAGAATAACCAGAGGTGTTTTAGGTGTTGGGCGAAAGACAATTACTGGCCCCCAGCTCTTCTCCAAATTGAGGCTAAAGAGCAAGTCAGAGGCTTGGTGAGTAACTCACCTCCTGATTCCCCAGAGTCTGTCCACCACCTACAAGGCACAAGTCAGGAGTGTGATGGAATAATCCCTACTTGCCTGGATGAGTGCAGCTCAAACAACACTCAAGAAGCTTGACAGACAATAAATGCTGGCCAGACAGTGACGCCCACATCCCACAAAAATAAACAAACAAAAAAAAATTTACTGGCCACCTGAAGGGGATCAATTTAACGCCTCAGCCAAGAGGCAGCACCTCTAACAGTGGACCACTCACGCAGTGTTGCAATGAATCAATGATCTTGTGCTCCAATTTCTGGAGTGTGTCATGAGGGGCACGGGTGGAGTGAATCGCCAAGGTCTTTTTCCTCAGGTGGGGGAGTCCAAACTTAGTGGGCACTGATTTAAGGCGAGAGGGGCAAGATTTCAAAAGGACCTGAAAGGTAACCTTTTCACACAGAGGGTGCTGTGTGTATGGAACGAGCTGCCAGAGGCGGCGGTGGAGGCTGGTATAATTACAATATTAAAAGAGGCATCTAGATAGGTATATGAATAGGCAGCTGGATAGGTATATGAATAGGAACAGCTTAGAGGGATATGGGCCCAATGCTGGCAAATGGGACCAGGTCAGATTGGGATGTCGGGTCAGTACAGATGAGTTGGACTGTGCTGTTAAGACTCTATGGCTCGATATCTCATGACACACGAGCTGGAAGATAGAAGGTCACTCCTTACTCTATCTGAAAGCTGCATCTAGTACTTTCGAGTTGTAATTGCTGTAAATTAATAAATAGGTCACAACAGCACTCTTGTGACACATTTTCTCTTGCTTGAATCTTCAAGCATTGCCTCTCATTGTATTGTGTAAGAAGTTGACATCACAGAAGCTGGCCATTGAGTCCATTATGTCTCTGCCAGCTCTTTTTTAGAGAATAGACTCAAATTGTGGAAGTAGGAAGACCTACTGACTCCAGAACTTCCACAAGAGCTGCCCAGAACCTAAACTATCCGGAGATGCTCAAAGACAAAACAGCTTATCACCCCCTCCCCAACCCTGACTCTCAATCTTTCCCTTCCCACACCAACTGGTAAAATTTCAGTCCTTCATGTGCCATTTCTCATGACCCACTCGGGTCCATCTGATCGACTGTGGTCACAGGTTCTGCTGCACTACCCCCACCCCCCACTCACCGGATAAAATGAGACCAACTCCGAAGACCCGACTGTAAACTAAGATCACGTGAATGTTGCTTTCGGATGTTTTTACCTGTTTTCTTTCTCTTCGATATACTCGTGGTCACTCATTTCTGGCATCTGTACCACGTTAACACGGACCGGGTGCGTGCTCTGAAGCAGACGGCGAACCTCCTGAACTCGCAGATCTTCGTTCCAGATTAAAGACATCAAATCCTGGTTCATGTCATTCATTCCATCTTCCTCCTCCTCAGCTTCAGTGTCGGAGCCTCCATCTGACAGTAACACATGCCCGATTGCCTGCAAACACGATCAGGTTAGCACACAGCGGTTTCTGAACCTTTTAGAGGGGAATAGCTCTGTTATAGAGTCATAGAGATGTACAGCACGGAAACAGACCCTTTAGTACAACTCATCCACATATGCCGACCACATATCCTAAATTAATCTAGTCCCATTTGTCAGCGTTTGGCCCATATCCTTCTTAAACCCTTCCTATTCAAAAACCATCCAGACGCCTTTTAAATGTTGTAATTGTACCAGCCTCCACCACCTCCTCTGGCAGCCCATTCCAGACACACTCCACCCTCTGGGTGGAAAAGATGCCTCTCAGGTCCCTTTTAAATCTTTCCCCTCTCAACTTAAACCTATGCCTTCTGTTTTGGACTCTCTCACCCTGGGGCAAAGACCTTGTCTATTTACCTCACCCATGCCCCTTTTTATAAACCTCTATAAGGTCACCCCTCAGCCTCCAACACTCCAGGGAAAATAGCCCCAGCCTATTCAGCCTCTCCCTTTAGCTCAAACCCTTCAACCCTGGCAACATCCTTGTACATTTTTTCTAAACCCTTTCAAATTTCACAACATCCTTCCTTTAGCAGGGAGACCAGAATTGAACGCAGTATTCCAGAACTGGCCTAACCAATGTCCTGTACAGCCACAACATGACCTTCCAACTCCTATACTTAACGCACTGACCAGTAAAGGCAAGCATACCAAACGCCTTCTTCATTATCCTGTCTATCTGCGACTCCACTTTCAAGGAACTATGAACCTGCACTCCAAGGTCTCTTTGTTCAGCAACATTCCCCAGGACCTTCCCATTAAGTGTACAAGTCCTGCCCTGATTTGCCTTTCCAAAATGCAGCACCTCACATTTATCTAAATTAAACTCCATCTGCTACTCCTCGGTCCATTGGCCAATCTGATCAAGGTCCCACTGTACTCTGAGGTAACCTTCTTCACTGTCCACTGCATCTACAATTTTGGTGTCATCTGGTAAACTTACTAACCACATCTCCTTTGTTCACATCCAAATCATTTATATAAATGATGAAAGGACCCAGCACCGATCCTTGTGGCACACTGTTGGACACAGGCCTTGTAGTGACTGACTCAGCCTTGTTTGTCTGGAGAATCCCGTTAACCTGGATTGGACTGGAGGAGTGTGGGTTATATTTGGTCTTAGAACTCTGGGTTGTGAAGAGGGATAAACAGTCAAGGCTCCTAACCCTGATTAGATTCCAGTCATCCGTGTTGGAAGAACGGACATGAGGGAAGGAAGCTCACATCACGACTCCCCCTCCATTGGAGCCTTGCATACACACACCAACAGCTTGGCCAAGATAGTGCTGAGTGACCAGGTCATGGGAAACTGTACCCATGGGTTGAAAACCAACTTCAGCTGGGGGAGGAGGAGGAGGGGGGAGGGTGCGTGGGTTGGGGGGGCGGTCAGGAAAAAGAGGAGGATGCACAAAAAGCAGTTTGGAGTTCGCACCCTTAAATTTGGTTGGAGGTTGAATGGTCCAAGAATGACCAGGGTGCCAGGTACCCTAGGCACTCCCAAATACAGTAGCTGCTTCCTATTGCAGAAAATACGGAGGCATGGGATTGAGGGTGATTTAGCGGTTTGCATCAGAAATTGGCTAGCTGTAAGAAGACAGAGGGTGGTGGTTGATGGGAAATGTTCTTCCTGGAGTTCAGTTACTAGTGGTGTACCTCAAGGATCTGTTTTGGGGCCACTGCTGTTTGTCATTTTTATAAATGACCTGGATGAGGGCGTAGAAGGATGGGTTAGTAAATTTGCGGATGACACCAAAGTCAGTGGAGTTGTGGATAGTGCAGAAGGATGTTGTAGGTTACAGAGGGACATAGATAAGCTGCAGAGCTGGGCTGAGAGGTGGCAAATGGAGTTTAATGCAGAAAAGTGTGAGGTGATTCACTTTGGAAGGAGTAACAGGAATACAGAGTACTGGGCTAATGGTAAGATTCTTGGTAGTGTGGATGAGCAGAAAGATCTCGGTGTCCATGTGCATAGATCACTGAAAGTTGCCACCCAGGTTGATAGCGTTGTTAAGAAGGCGTACAGTATGTTAGGTTTTATTGGTAGAGGGATTGAGTTTCGGAGCCATGAGGTCATGTTGCAGCTGTACAAAACTCTGGTGCGGCCGCACTTGGAGTATTGCGTACAGTTCTGGTCACCGCATTATAGGAAGGATGTGGAAGCATTGGAAAGGGTGCAGAGGAGATTTACCAGGATGTTGCCTGGTATGGAGGGAAGGTCTTATGAGGAAAGGCTGAGGGTTTTGAGGCTGTTTTCATTAGAGAGAAGAAGGTTAAGAGGTGACTTGATAGAGACATACAAGATCATCAGAGGATTAGATAGGGTGGACAGTGGGAGCCTTTTTCCTCGGATGGTGATGGCTAGCACGAGGGGACATAGCTTTAAATTGAGGGGTGATAGATATAGGACAGATGTCAGAGGTAGGTTCTTTACTCAGAGAGTAGTAAGGGCGTGGAATGCCCTGCCTGCAAAAATAGTAGACTCGCCAACTTTAAGGGCATTTAAATGGTCATTGGATAAACATATGGATGATAATGGAATAGTTTAGGTTAGATGGGCTTCAGATTTGTTTCACAGGTCGGCGCAACATCGAGGGCCGAAGGGCCTGTACTGCGCTGTAATGTTCTATGTTCTATGCTTTTAATGAAACAATACCTTGATTGATATCAGTCATGAGGTCACACGGGGTGGTTAAATCATTTTATGTATTACGTTGGCGAAATCAGTTGTTCCATACACAGCCATCTTTCAACATTCACCACTCAAGACTTAAACTAATAGTTACCTCCCGCAACAGTTCTGATGAGAGGCCATCAGCCTGAAACAGTAACTTGGCCCGCAGAAACTGCTTGACTAATATTTCCAAATAATCTTCTTATTTACATTAACACAAACGTCATCTCACTACCATAAGTTCCTCTATACTGCCACAGCAACTTTAGACCTGTCTTTGTCAATGGGATATGGGCAGTTTTGGTCAGCCAGTATTTACAGCCCACCCCAAAAATAACCCTGGAGAAGATGGTGGTGAGCAGCCTTCCTGAGACACTTCCTTCTTTGGGGGTGGGGATACCCACGGTGATGTTCAGGAAGCAGTTCCAGGATTTTGACCCAGTGACATTGAGGAAATAGCGATACATTTCCAAGTCACGATGGTGAATGGAGGGGAATTTGGAGGGAGTAGTAGTGTTCCTTCTGATGCCCTTGTCCTTCTAGATGGCAGAGGTTGTAGGTTTGGAAGGTGCTGCTGAAGGAGGCTGGGGGAGTTACTCCAGTGCATCTTGTAGATGGTACACACTGCTGTTACTGAGTGTTGGTGGTGGATGGGGTACCAATGAAGTGGGCTGGTTTGTCCTGGATGGTGTCGAGTTTTGGCGTTTTGCTCGAACTGCACCCATCCAGGCAAATGGACAGCATTCCATCACAGTCCTGATTTGGGCCTTGTAGGCGATGGATAGGAGCGGAGTTACTCACTGCAGAATTCGTAGCATCTGACCTGCTCTTGTCTTTAAACGGCTCATCTAGCTGAGTTTCTGGTCAATGCTAGCCCCCAGGATGTTGATCATGGTTTGTGAGAGCCGATGTTCTCACTGTAAACCATACAACACTCCACATTCCAGAATGTCCTGTGTAGTGCAACCAATGAACTATCCAATCGAGAAAAATGAAGAGGGAATGTAGGTCCACAGGCTCAGCTTACACGCCAGATTTTGCGGTACTTTCAGAGTTGAATCCCTCTAACTTGCAGCATCTTCACAAGGTCTGATGTATAGTACACATGTTTGACACTTGATATATGCAGGAATAGCATTTTAATTAAAAACTAAATTCAGAATTCAAAATTACTGTCAGATTTCACAAATAAAACCTTCCGTTCCAATATCTCATATTGGCACACAATTTAGTGTAAACTTACAGATTTTGTCTTGTGTAGACTTCCTTCATGCGCCTGCTTGGAAAGGTCTTGGCGTCCAATAAGAGAACATGCTGCTTCAGACCAATCTGAGGAAGGTTGTTCACGGCAATGATAAATAGCATCACGTATTGGGAGTGCAACCCCAAAGGGAACAGTCTCCAAATCCTTTAAGGTAAACCCTACAGAAGTAATACAACCACAGGTGACATTTACGCTAAACACCCTTACATGGGCACAAAAACAGAAAGTGCTGAAAAAGCTCAGCCAGTCTGGCAGCATCTGTGGAGAGAAATTGAGTGACTCTTCCTCAGGTCTGAGCTACACTAATACGCAAACTCTCTTGTGAAGCCTTGCATTTCCCTTTGAAGTTCATAATGCCATAGCTTCCTTTATCTGCGGAGAATATAAGCCACTAAGTACCTCCCAATCAAACTTTGTTTCAGCAGAGAACTCAGGCAATAGCAACTCACCAAACCACTTTATTGCCCAGTTGTGCCATAAACCACTTTTGATTCCTGTGAGTGCTGAAATGGCTAATCTCAGCTCAGGTGTGCTGCAAATGGCTTCAACTGGTACTTGGTAACAGGCACCCCTAGTTGGACACAAAAGGTGTTCTAAGGCTCCAACTCATAATATCTGACTTCCCTTTCCTCCCTACCTGCCAAGGAGGAACTCCTGCCCTCCTGACAACAGGACAGCTCAGTTCTTCGGGCTCAAAGTGTGGGCGAACTGTAGCCATCGACCAGCTGGACTGTATGAAGCTCTGCTGCTCAGACTCCATGCACCACTGGCCACACCTGGTCAGATATTTAAAAATTCTTGGAAGCTTACCTAGGTTTGTGAGTGAAACCACCAACTTCGTTGCTAAGCTGGAAGACAAGGCGCATGGATTCAAACTAAGCCTGAGAACAGAGGGAAAAATGTAAACAAATAAGTAGGGATTTTGTGCAAAGCACCTGCAGAATGAGCAGGCAATATCACTTGTAACGTTTGTTACCTTTTGTTGTCTTCCTCTGTTTGCTGTTTCCTTTGTCCTGTTAAATAGTTTAGAAGTTTTAGCAATTAAAGGTGGCAGAATTATTACACAAGAGCATGATGTTTTAATCTCAGCCCTTCCAACTGTTACATACATCACATAGTGTGCGTTACAATACCATTGTGGACACACATATTTTAACAATCCTTTGTATTGAGCAGAAACTGAAGCATATCCTGACCATTGCTGGAATCTCTCATTAACGACGTGGTCGGCTCCGATGATTCATTATGTTTCATCAAGTGCCATGAATCGTGCACCTAGCCTATGGGACAAGATTCTGAGGTCCCAGAGCAGTGAGAATTCCACTCCTGTGTAACGGCTACTCACTTGCCCTTTTGCAAAACAATTAGCCTGTCAAAGTGGAAAAGCAACATGCACTTTTTCTTCACAGCATGCATGCCTTTTTCTGTTTACATGTTTTAGTTTGGATGGGATCCTGACCAGGAGTTCAGCAGGGAGAGAAGCTGAAATGGAAACAGCACTTTAAGTGGGCTAGCTAAGAAAAAATTGAGTTTAGCAAGGCTTGATGGAATATATTTTAATGCAAGGAGCTTAAGGAATAAGACAGGTGAGCTCAGGACACAGGCAGGTACGTGGGGAGTGTGATATCAAAGCATCAAAAGAGACTTGGCTGAAAGATGGGCAGGATTGGCAGCTCATATTCCTGCTTATGAAGTATTCAGATGAGACGGATGTCAATCAAGGGATCAATTATAGCAATTAGGAGGGATGGTATCTTGGAAGGATCATCAAATAATGAGTAGAATTAAAATGCACAGAAGGGCAAACAGGTCATTAAGTGTGCATTGTAGGCTCCCAGTCAAGGAAAGATAGAGGGTCAAATATGTAATCATATTTCAGAGAAGTGCAAGCATAATAAGGCGGTAATAATAGGGTATTTTAACCACCCAAATATTAAGTGGGTTAGTTTTAGTCTGCAAGATAGGGAGGGAACTAAATTCCTAAATTGCAATCAGAACTTTTAAAACCTGTACACAGAAATCCCAATATGGGAGGGGACAGTTCTAAATATTCAGAAATGAGCCCAGGCAGGTGAAAGGTGTGTCAGATAGTGACCATAACTCAGTTAGGAATAAGATAGTTAGGGAAAAGAATAAGGACGGGCTGAGAATAAAAGTTCTAAACTGGGGAAAGGCTAATTTTACTAAGAATAGATAGCATTTGGCCCAAGAGGACTAGGAGCAATTACTTGCAGGTAAAATTGAGAGCCATTCAAGGAGGAAATAGGGCAAATATGTTCCCATAAAGGCAAAGGGTGGGTTCAAAAACTGAATCCTGGATGTCAAGGGGCTTAAAATTTAGGGTTAAGAAAAGAAGCAAATCTTATGGCAGATATTGAAGGGTTCAACACAGCAGACTCCTTAGAGGATCTTAAAAGAATTAGGAAAGCAAAGAGAGTGCATGAGAAAGAACTGGTAAGAAGAATAAAGGAAAGCTCAAAGGGTTTTTTAAAAAATATGTATAAAGAATAGAAAAGAAGAGGGCCCATTAGAGACCATCGAGGTAATGGAAGCCATAGAATCCCTACATTGTAGAAAGAGGTCATTTGATCCATTGAGTCTGCACTAACCCTACAAAAAGCATCCCACACAGAACCAGCACCCCCCCACCTTTTCCCCGTAACCTCACATTTCCCAGGGCTAACCCAACTACCTAACACACCCATAGACGCTATGGGTAATTTAGCATGGCCAATCCACTTAACCTGCACATCTTTGGACTATGGGAGAAAACTGGAGCACCCAGAGGTAACCCAGGCAGGCACAGGGATAATGTGCAAATTCCACGCAGACAGTCACCCAAGGCTGGAATTGAACCCAAGTTCCTGGCGCTGTGAGGCAGCAGCGTTAACCACTGTGCTGCCAATGCATAGACACAGTCAATAACTTGCATCAGTCTTTGCAAAATCAAAGGACAATGCAAGTATAGACATTAAGGTGGAGGAATATCAGAGGAAATTAACATATGGAGAAAGGAGTTACTAAAGGGTTAAGCACCTTTAAAAGTGGAAAATCTGCAGGCCTGCAGAAAGACTGGGTCAACCATGAGTTAAGTAACAATTTTAGAAAAGAAGAAACAATTGAAATGAAAGGAAGAAAAAATGTTGTATTTATATGGTATCTTTCACGATCTCAGCCTGTCACAGAGGATTACACAGCTCATGGAGTACTTCTGAAGCATAGACAATGGGGTGAACGAACAGAGTGGAAATGTGGTTGACTCTTAACTGCCCTCTGGCCAATTAGGATTGGGTATTACATGATGGCCTAGCCAGTCATGCCGATAGCCCATGAAAGAATATTTTTAAAAACTAGGCGAACTCCAAGCCACTTATGTACAGAAATCTTCCGCAAAAAAAGCAATGAGGGAAAAAATTGAGACAGCCTCCTTGCTCTAAATAGTGCTGTGAGATCTAAACAGATTATATTTTAATATAACTTCTGGCAAGTGGATGAAAAGTAAATTATTTCCAATGCTGTTTCCTCATGTTGCTCAACCGCAGGGCTCCAATTACACAAATACAATTTATGATTAACTGCCTACTTTTCATCCTCCCTGCGATTTGTAGAACAGATCTACAAGGTGCTCCAGAATTCAATTCCTGCTTTTCCAAACTTGCCTTGGAGAAATTTCAAGAACTGCCCCTGGGAGACAGTTTTCCATCTTGGATCCAACACTAACACCTAGTTTCTGCTGTACATGCTCAATCAAGAATGACAGCGGATCTTTGCAGGGCAAGAGGTTGTGCAGGAATTAACCACATCTGCATCTTATATCACTTAGCTTTCCAGAAAACAGTGTGCCTGCTGCATCCATAGGTCATCTTTATCTTAACATAGCACCAAAGCAATTAACTTCAAAGGATAAAGAGCATTTTCTGAGGCATGACAGCTTTAAGAGCCAGTTCCCCAGTGAATTCCATTTCTGGGTCACAGTTCTTGTTGCTTTTAGCAGTTAATGCATTTCAAAACCATTCTTAGCCAAGTAAGTTCTTTGGATGCAATTTAAATGAAGTAATTTCCTGACAATGAGTCTGGAATACGTACTGCTGAATCTTGCAGAGGTTAACTCCCATGTGTTCTTCAAAGCATGGAGCCCTGGAACCTTTACTCAGCAAAACAATCTTTAGTTGCTAGATGATTAGCAATAGGAGGGATTTCAACGCTGCCTGTGCCAGTTCTTTCTACCACTCACAGGCTACAGCTTGCAATTGGTACTTGACCTAGTGAAAGCCGGCAGTAATAGAAAATAGACCAAGTTTGGATCTGGAATTATTTGTTGATAAAACCAACCCACTGAGAGGAATATTTAGACAGTAGACATTGTGAAAAAGTCTACTGCAAACCTGGGTTGACCATCAACATTGTGACTGAGCACTTACCCAGCGCTCTTCTAGATAGGGCAGAAAATTATCTGAAGACAAGCCAAATACCTGCTGCAATCCGAGATAAGTACTTAGATGACTCTTGTAACAGTGCTTTCTCATCGCCAAGTATGTAGAGTGCAAAACTCTGCAAAAAAAAAAAGGCAAGTTTACTCAGAAAATACCATACATCCCAATTGACAACCTTATACCCTGCAATCATTTCCTCAACTAAAGATCCTGATAATTCTTTAATCTGCCAAAAGCAAACCCCTTCCATTAACCCTGCAGAGTCTGCTCCATATATTCAATAGTCTGTGAAATAGTTACAGTTAAATTGCTCATCAACCTTTTCCATCTCTGAGCCTAATTCTTGCAACACAAATAGCAGGCAATTTCCAAGAATCTACCCATCACCCCATGATGTTCACCACTGACCAGAAACTCAACTGGCCTAGCCACATAAATACTGTAACAGAAAGGAAGGTCAGAGGTTGGGAGTTTCATATTGATTCACCTTCCAACTCCCCAAACCCTCTCTGTCACCTACAATACACAAATTAGGAGTCCAATAGAATACCATCAACTTGTGTGAATACCATCTGCAAAGTTTCCTACAAGACACATACTGTTTCAACTTGGAAATATGTCACTATTCTTTCACTGTTGCCGACAATTTTAAATATTTTACATTGTTTTTGCTATTGCTTAGTAACAAGAGAGGGAGGTTCTCAGAATCAAATCCCAGGGTAGAATTTCACCCCAAGTATTTAAAAACTTGCAGGATGTAGATGATTATCATTGCAAAGTCCTGAATTGAGATTTCTGCAAAGCACTAGAATTTAACATTTCTCTTTTTTCTGTGATCACAAATGAAGGAATCTGACTTTTTCTTTCAAAGTTTACAAATCTTTCATAAATTTTGCAGTAGCTAATTGAATGCCGAACCAGTAATGGAAGCAAGACGGAACTAGTATAAATACACTGACATCAGACACATCGACAAACTGATGAGGATCCAACAATCGTTTATTTCATGTGCACACAAGAAGAGGCAGTCTTATCACCATGAAGTGTAAAACTAAACTGATGGGTTACAGAAATTTTCATAAAAGCAAAGTCGCCACCTTCCCAGAGGACCACAGGGGTTGGAGACACATCTGGTTAGGTGTCTAATCTAAAGATCACCATGCCTCAGGCAAGGGGCCAAGTTGGGAAGGTGAGAGCTTCGTGGTAACTTCAGCCAGTGTGGGAATAGAACCCACGCTGCTGGCATCACTCTGGATCACAAACCAGCCATCCAGTCAAATGAGTTAGCCAACCCCTGCTAACCATTATACAAGACATTACAACACACGTATTATAATTCCCACACTTGTGTGTCTCGGTGAATTAATTTATCTGCTGTTCTTCCACAGTTTTTGCAGGCATTGTCTATATTTCACTCAAGGCCAGCTCTATCTCACTGATAGCGCAGCTCCTATACTCTTGCTGCCTTCATAGATCATCTGCTTTTACAATATGGCAGAAAATTTAGCCCTTAACTAACCAAAACTGATTCAACCTTTTCAAGACTCTTTTGTAAATGTATTTTCAACTCATTATCTGGTGCAGCTTAGAAATGCACAATTTTGTCAGTTGCACAAAGATCAGGCATCAAACAGGAACTTAATGAGAGATTACCGAAGCCACAATTAAGAGGTAAGTTCTGAAAAACCTCTTCATAAAATATAATCATAGAGTACAGAATGCCATTTGGCCCATCAGGCCTGTGCCTGTAATCTGACAGAGCTCTACATGCAGTCATATATCCCTGCATGACCCCAATTGCTTGTAAACTAAGCATTTATTCAATTCCTTTTAAATGTTACTTTTGAATCTGCTCAGGCAATGCATCCAGATCATAAGAATTTGCTATTCTCCCCTCTGGTTCTTTTGTCTATTTACGTTGTTTACGTCATCAAATCCCCTCATAATTTTGAATACCCAACCTTTCCTCAACTTTCTCTATTGGTGGTGAAAACAGCCCAAGTTTCCCTGGTCTGCCCACAGGGTCAAAATTGGATAGCTGTCAAAAACGGGTGTACGGATTGCAATCGAAGATTAACCCACATCCTTTGCTTCTGATGCAGGTAGTGCACAAAGTTCACGTTGCCACTTAATTTACAAGATATGATTTACAATTCTTGCAGCTGAGCCTAACGATACTGTTGAGTGGCTGTGTTATTTAATAGATTTCTTAGCATAGTCAAAGCTTATGGAAGCGGATACAAAGTTGGCTGAGTGACAGGAAACAGAGTGCAGTGATAAACAGTGCCTTTTCTGAACTGCAGAAAAGTATACAATGGAATTCTCCTGGGTCAGAGTTAGGATATTTACCAGGCCCAGACTGTGCAGGGCACAACTTCAAAATCTGCAGTTAACACAAAATTCCAAATTGTCTGAAGTAGTGCATGCAATTCTGGTCATCCCAATATAGAAAGGATATTATTAAAATAGAAAGCTTGCACGAAAGATTTACTAGGATGCTACCTGGACTGGAAGGTTTGAGTTATAACAACAGGCTGGGACTTTTCCCTGGAGTGTACGAGACTGAGGGGTGACCTTATAGAGGTCTATAAAATCATGTGAAACATTGGTAAGGTAGATAGTCAACAGTTTTTCCCCACGGTAGGGGAATATAAAACTAGAGGGCATAGGTTTAATTGAGAGGGGAGAGATACGAAAGGATCCAAGGGTGCAATATTTTCTTCCCCACACAGAGGGTGGCGAGGTCTGGAACGGGCGGCCAGAGGTAGTGGTGGAGGCGAGTACAATTTTGTCATTTAAGAAACATTTGGACAGGTTCATGGATGTGACAGATATGGAGGGCTACGGACCAAATGCAGGCGGAGATGAGGAGACATTTCTTCACCCAAAAAGTGGTCTGTGGAATTCATTACCACAGGACGTAGTTGATGCCAAAACATTGAATGTATTCAAGAGGCAACTAGATATAGCCTTGGGCCAAATGGGATCAAATGTTACAGGGAGAAAGCAGGACTAAGCTATTGAGTTGAATGATCAGCCGTGATTGTGAAGAATGGCAGAGCAGGCTCGAAGGCCAATAGGCCGCCTCTTGCTCCTAGCTTCTATGTTTCTATGTAAATGGGCTAGTTTAACTGTGAAAACTGGGTGGCATAGACAGGGTGGACTAAAGGGCCTATTTCCATGCTGTAAACCTCTACGACTGACTCCAAGACACCACGAACATGGAATGGCCAGACAAAAATTTATTGCTGGAATTGTGGAGTGATAATGGGAAGAATGAAAAGAGACAAACAAAATAAAGGTCACAAATTCGAAGGACAATTAAAAATGTACAATGAAAGCTGGCCTAGGCAGTGACACCTGCATTTGATATATAAATTTTTTAAAACTTTCTGTCATAAAAGGCCTTTCACCAGTTTTACTTCATGACACTGAAACAGGGGGGAAAATGTGTGGCGAATTTCAAAGCTATTTTTAACTGCTTTCAGAATGAAGTAGTTTAAAGCACTCACTCTCTCTGCAATAAATTTAAAAGCCTTGCTTTGGTCCCAACATCCAGAAAGTTTTGTTTGTTTAAAAGCAAGTTTAATAAAAAGATGCATGTCATTGTTTCTTTTAAACTGAGCCACAACAGTATGCTTTATTCATATGAAGAGATTGTTTATGGTGGTTACATGCTTGAGTGAACACTTCATCTTGTAAAATGTGTGAAATTGCCTACAAAATCATCAAAATGTGTATTAGCACTGCTGTTTTTGACTGACAGCACCTACCCACTTCAGTACTAAACAAATTATTCATGTTAATCATATCTACGAACACCAGACAAGTTTAAAAATGTGTCTTGACTATCACATTTTCTCTGTCTCCAAAAATGACAGTGCTTGAGGTTTGACACAGAAATCTGGATGATTGAGAAGTATACAGAATATTGCAAGATCGAAGAAAGATAGCAATGTGTGCCCCAGCCCCACGGGACCTCTGAAAATACAGCTGACAATCCGTAGATGTTGCACAGAAACTGCTGGTTCAACATTTAACGTAACAAATTCAAAGTAGCTGGGAACAATCAGTAAACGGAAGAGCAACGGCCAATTTCGCCAAAAGATTTGCAAATTTGAAAGAGAAACAAGATACAGGATATTGCTGAAAATATTGTACAGTTTAAATGGTAATCTGTAGTTGGCATTAGTGTCATAAAATTCATAAAGTTGAACTTCTCCCAAAATCCCCCACCGTCTTTCTAAAACAAGAAAGCAACTCAAAAGCATGACAAAATGCTGACTTACCTGCACAATTAATTTTGTTCTTTCACAGATGCCAGGCAGGTAAGGGAAAGAGGACATTATATCACCATTTAGACAAGAACTCAGCCATCGATAGATGCTAGGAGGTTCAGCAGTAAGAAAAGGTGGCTGGTGCATGAGTCTTGTTTGTGCTGTGTTGAAGAAGCAAGATCTTAAAATCTTCATAGCTTTATAAAGGTTCTACAATTTTATGCTAGTAACAAGTTTTCTTTCTTTATTTCTTCAATTTTCTGCCTTTGAATTCTATGCTTTGGTTTATTTTTCTGTGTTTTAAGATGGTGCCAGAGAGTGGCGACAATATACAATACTTTTCACTATATTTTATAACAAGATACGCATGACAATAAATAAATCAAATAAATAAATCAAGTTTCCTTTCAGATTCATCACCTGATGCAATCTCAAAATCCAGCGCATTTAAGTTAGCTTGTCAAAAATGAGCTTTTTAATTAAGATTTGCATTAAGTACCTGATCAGTGTTTAAGCACTATTACATTAATCTTACAACTGGAGGTCCTCACTTGCAGATAAATGCCTCACAGGATGTCAAGTGACCAAAAAGATCTCAGATTCAAGCCTGGGCTAATCGCTGAGCTCAGCCAAGGTGATGTTTATTTCACTGACAAACTGTCCCTGGGTTACATTTAAATTTCCTTCCAGTCAAATTTCTTTCTGACCAACTTGCAGTCATGCTTTTGTAAAGTCAGAGTAATAAAGGCCCAGAAGCAGTTCATTCAATCCAATGCTCCACAGTTACTGGCATGGACTCAATCAGGTCAGCACATTCTTCCCTCCTTAAACCTATAATCCCTGAAAATAGATATGTACATCTTTGAACTGAGTTGTCATCATACCCCAAAAATAGAAGTTTGTGATAGTTCTTTCTTGCCAGAGTAATATGAAGCAACGCTGAATTAAAACCCAAACTTACATATGCAATGAGTTATGTGTTACGTAGTTTTTTTTTAAATAAGTTCATGACAGATTTCAATGCAGTAGCCTCTGTGCCTCAGTTTGTCCTCAGCAATCTCAGCCTGAAGAAACTTGCCATGTATGAAGTTCAAGGGCAGGTATTGCTTCACTTTGAACCTTGCAGAAGAAACCCCACATTTCAGATGCCAAGAAAAGCAGTGTTACCTTGTTCAATTTTACACGTTTGTTTCAAAGCCTTCACCAGTAAAGGGTAGTCCCTCCAATAAGAATCCATGTACATGTCCAGCTTCAAATCTCTGTCAAATGATACAAACCAAACTGTGGAATGTACTTTCAGTGAATGAAAGACTGAAAACTTGAATAGCACACTGCTTTTTCTCAGCAATGCTTTCAACAAGTAATGTAATGGTGCCTATTAAAATAAAGTATCCAATTTTAAAATCTATATTCTAAGGATGAAGAGAATAACTAGTCTTTACTTCGACTGAGGTAACAAGCATCACAGCAATGACTGTATGAAAAATGCAGAATAATAAGTTTTCTAATTGCATTCATGATGTATACAAAAGCCTGATTAACTACATGGTGCCCTTTTTATGTATAAAGTGGACAACCTTATCACAGGAACGTTGGATAAGGGAGAAGGAGTAGGCCATTCAGCCCTTCTAGCCTGGTCTACAAGAGACCAGAGACCAACGCACCATTCAATAAGGTCATGGTGTATCCGGTTGTGCATCAACTCCACTGTTCCGTCTGCTTCCACATAACCCTCAATTCCCTTGCCTATCAAAACTATAGCAAACTGTGCCTTCAATCAGTTCAATTAACTTGTCTCCACAGCTTTCTGTAGAAGTTGACAGACTAACAGCCATCCCAGAGAGTGCAAATTTTCATCTGTCTTTTTGAAAGAGAGACTTCTCGTTCTTAAACTGAGTCCCCTAATTCTAGTCTCCTCCACAAAAGGCTGCCTCATTTGGTATTTCGTAATAAAGTATGGTTCAATAAGATTACCTCTCATTCTTCTAAATTTCAAAGGGTATGGATCCAAAGTTTTCACTCTTTCTTAGTAGGATGAGCCGTTCAACCAATAACAAACTGAATGAACCTTCTCTAAGCTGTATTTAACGCAATCATACCCTTTGTGTACAATATATATAATATGCAATGGGATTTAGATTTTATAAGAGTCAGATGGATTTGGGCTAGTTCTGTGAAGTGTTTTTTGTTAAAAACAGGTCAGAAAATCATCTTGAATAGTGACCTAAACGCATCAATTCCAAAAAAGTACGCAATTGTGGTCTGGAAGGACCTCTCTCATATTAATAGATAGAATCTTTATACAGCCGTGTTAACAACAGACCAACAAGTCATTAGTTTTATTTTGGGCTTCAGATCAGAAGGTTCAAGGTCTCAGTTCAGGAGAATCAGGAGTTCGGTTCAGAAGGGAGAAAGGTTAGTTCAGGGGAACCAGTCACTGAAGCCAAAGAAGTTTAATTTGTGGAGTTTCCAAGGCAGGTGAGTTTGGATGGAAATCTTCATGTTATTTTTCTTTGATATAGTGATATCTGCTCGGCAAATCAGGCAGCAAAACACTTTCAGAAATTTACAAAGGTTTGACTCTAAATATATAAATGGTACAAACACTTGTTTTTAATTTTCCTTTTAGGACCTTTTCCCGCGCAGAGACCAACGCACCACTGGGGAAGAACTCAACTGTTTCTTATCTATTCCTAATCAAACTGCTCAGGGACATTATAACATACCTCTAGACCAGGTAGGATCTGAACCTGGGCCTCCTGGCTCAGAAGTAGGGATACTACTACTGTACCACAAGAACACCTTACATTTTTCTTGCAGAACTGTGTGACAACAAAAGCTGATGGGAGCAAAATCTATATTCCTGGATGCTCTGGAACCACCATCCTTTGGGTCAACCCCAAACGTGTTGAATGACTGCTCCACAGAAAAACTTAGTTTGTATTTTAAATCAACCTGTCTGCACACACTTTCATGGCAGGTTGGACTTGAACCTAGACCTTCTGGCCCAGAGGTAGGGACACTACCATTGTGTTGCAAGAGCCTTTAAGAATTTGGCTCTTTTTATTTTGCAATATGTTCAGACATGTCATGCTGTGTTCCTGAGGCTTGAATCTGGCCCAGAAGGAGGGACGCTATAAGACACAGGAGCAGAAACAGGTCATTCAGCCCATTGAGTCTGCTCCACCATTCCAAGACATCATGGCCGATCTCATTATCCTCAGCTTCACTTGCCTGCCTTTTCCTGACTTGATTCCCTTACTGATCAAAAATCAGACAATTTCAGACTTGAATATCCTTAACTACTACCGTGCCACAAGAATCCTTGAAAGCCAGTGAGGCTCGTTGGACTTTTGTATTTAATGGCGGAGTTTGCTTTCTTGTGGCTATGTTGGTGCCTGAGTGCCCTTGGAGAGGGAGTATGCAGTGTCCACCAGCATCCTCACATTGGCACCACAGGAGCTGAAGTACATCATCTCCTCCTCAAATTCTCACTTTGATTTATAAGAAAGCAGCTTTGTTTTCTCACAACAACCTGTTCAGTCTAGGGCTTGAACCGAGTCCATCTGGCCCATAAGAACTCAACTCTTAGATATTTTTAGTCAACTTGCTCAGAAAGGTTATGACACACTTCTGCAGCAGGCGCAACTTGAAACTGGGGTCCCTGCTCAGAGGGAGGGACATTACCACTGCATCACAGAGCTTTTGAAGAGCTCAGCCCTTTTTTTTCTAAAAGAAAACGATCACTAAATCACTCATTGGAATACTTACAGAAATAAATTACATGCACCGTCCACCGGGGCAGTGCAATGATAACACAAATGAAGGGAGGGTAGAAAAGGAGTGAGGGACTAAATCAAAATGAGAATTGGAGGGAGAGATAATGCACTCTGGCTCCTGTGGTGCCCATCTCACTCTTAAAGCTACAAGGGTGCTGGAAAACACCACGTACTCCCTCTCCAAGGACACCCGAGGACAAACGTAGCCAAAGAGAAGAACTTAAATACAAAGTCCAATGACTGGCTTTCAATCTGGAGCTGGTCTGTCTGAACCTTAAAGACAATTGGCTTTTTAAAATCTGGAACAGTTTGAACTAAAAAGGTTTAGGCCATCAGATTTGTGAAAGTATCATGCCGGCTGGCTTGGAAATGAATTACAAAATTGTTTCCACAGTCCAATGAAAAGAATTTAGCAACCTAAGTAAAAAAAAGATTTGAGGTTGGAGTAAAATTTCTCTGAAACTGAGTATCAGTGATAGTGTCCCCGGAGGGATACATACCTTGCCAGTTGATACAGGAGAATGACAAGTGAACGTGCACCTTCCCTCATCAGATTATCCAGCTTTAGTTCCTCGTAGATCAAGTGTAGCACAAAGAAAATGGCAGGAATGTGGCTGAAAAGTAGAGTGGTTGAATCCAGGCCAAGGTTCGGAAACGTCTCTTCTTTGGGATGCAAGACCTCCAGAGGGTCTAACTGCAGCACACCAGCTAAAAGGTGAGATTCAAAATTATGATGATAGTCACACGAAAGCAGGTATTCCCAGTCCTGAAAATAAAAAATAAACATGCATTTTAATTAAAGCTAAGAAACATTATAAGCCTCTTCAACTTTCTTACATAAAAGCACAAATGACAAAAATCTTTTTACACAAGATATGCTTGTCAGGATGACACCATGGCTGGAGTGTCATTTTCCTAACAGCATTTTCTACAGAAGTTATACATTTTATAGCCAATTTTGTTGCTCCTACAACGTGACCACCAGGTTTTCAAATGGAGCCGAATTTACTGTAGTAAAAGTGCACAGTTGCAACAGTTATACTTCAGATAGTAAGCTTCAATGTTGTGTCAATTTGTATCACATTTGTTTTTCACTTCTAGTTACTGCAGCATGATGGCCAATGGTAGAAAGGGGAACAGTGAGCGTAAATGTATTTTTCCTATGCAAAGCAACAGTTCATTTTCAAGTGAGAAGATGAACCAACATCCAGGATTCACATCGTCAATAACTGGAAAGAAACGAGGGGACTCAAAGATAAAACATGCATAAAAGCAGGAAGAACACCATATACAAAGAAATAGCTAAAGGGAATTTCCAATTCTAATTTGATTCCAAGAGTGATCAGCATGAGAAATGGGCATCCAAACAGGGTAAAGAGGCTAAAACCTTGAAATCATATTGTAGATAGTTGGATGTAGATGTTCCCAGCTGAATGGACTGAAAGAGGTTTTCTTTTCTACCTTTATCTAGGTATCTTTGTTTGTGATCCGCTAAGAGAGATTTTAATGCATATTCCAACTTTCATGATCATTCAATTGTTGCATGGGTCTCGAAAGACATGTAGGTCTGAACGGGTAAAAATTCCCTTCCTTGAAGTTGGGTGTTTGCAACAAATGAGTCCAAATGACCAATCTGAATGGCATGTGGCAGAATTTTGACTCATGACCTCGGGGTGCAGAACCACTAGGATATTCCACGATTCAAGTGCAAATATTTCACATGTGATGGGAATGCATCTTGAACAAAACAATAATTTACATGCTGTTTCCCACTGAAACATGCAAGGTATAATTTTCTTACCTCGTCTGAGCCGACTTCTGAAGGCCTGGCTTTTTTGGCAGCGATCACAGGGGACAGAGAACCCTCTAAATCAAGCTGTGTGAATTAAAGGACATTTGATTATCGTCACAACCGCTTTAGATTAATTTTTCAATGGTCACTATACCACAAAAATGTGCAGTATTTTGCACCCTGTTGTGACTGCAAGTCTGGTAGCAATAGAGATCTTCAGCCCCTGTCACTGTCCAACATATTTGAGGTTCTTGCTGCTTGGATAAGTAGAAAAAGCAGTGCTGTCGTCTCAGCTATTCAGAGTCTACATTAGTGTCTTAGATGAAGAGTAATGTATAATTATTTTTTGATGACACAAATCTAAGAGGGAATGCAAATCGTAACAGGGACTCCAAGAGGCTGCAAAAAGACAAAGACAGCTGAAATGATTGGACAACAATTTGAAGATAGAATACAATGTGGGGAAGGCTAAGGTTATTCACTTTGGTCATGAAAACAGAAGAGCAAAACTTGTAAAAGATGTGAAACTTGATGTTCACAGGGACTTGGGTACATCTGTGCAAAGGACACCAAAAGTTAGCAAAGAGATATAGTAAGCAACTGGGAAGGCAAATGTCACATTAGCCTTTATTGCAAAGGAATCATAGTGCAAAAATAAATAAATCTAGCTACAGTTACACAGAGCCTGGAATATTCTGCGTAATTTTAGTTTCCATTGTTAAGCAGGTGAATGGAGCCGGCACAGCAAAGGTTCACTGAAATGTTTCCTGGAATGAACAGCTTGTCCTATGACGAGAGACCGAGTAAATTGGACATAGGAATTCGGAACAGGAGGAGGCCGTTCAGCCACCTGAGCCTGTTCTGCCAACTATCCTAACACTATTTTCCCCTGTACGTGTGACCCTGGACCCAAAATGTTAACTCTGCTTTCTCTCCACAAATGCTGCCAAACTGCTGAATTTTTCCAGCATTTTCTAAATTTGTTTGATTTCCAGCATCCGCTGTTCTTTGGCTTTTTTGATCATTATCCAAAAACCTGTCCTGTAATACTGCTATATCTGCATGCTTTGTCAGCTACATCTCCCGTCTCGAAAGCACCCCACCACCCTCACAACAAAAAAAACTTAGATTAAAACTCTCTCTACAGCCCTAGTTAGTTGATTCACCAGGACACCATGGTTTAACAGAAGCGTGTCCCAGCGGAACAGCTCCCTTCTATTCCAGGACATTCAAACTGAAGACCATTCCAACCAAACCAATTTTTGAGCCTTGCATTTAACTCCATTTAATTGACCTATGGCTCAGGTAGTAATCCTGAGATTATTACATTGGCAGTTATGCTTTTTCATTTTATATGCTTCAATGAAATCCCTCCCATTCCTTTATTCTGTAGAGAGTACAGGCCCCGTATTCTCAATCTCTCCTTAAAAGGACAATCCCGGCACCCTAGGAATCAATCTGGTGAACCTTCGTTGTTTTCCCTCTCTAGCAAGATAAAGAGACCAAATCTGTAACAATACTCTACGTTCGGTCTCACCAAGGTTCTATACAATTGTAGAAAGCTTCTGACTCCTGTACACAAATCCTTTTGGCCTGTTAGCTTTCAGTGACATATGAACAAAGGCAGCTAGATCTCTTTGCACGTCAACAGTTCCCAATCTTCATCATGTAAGAAACACACTGCATTTCTGTTTTTACCCACCAAAATGGATAATTGAACAATTTCCACATGATATTCTATTTACTATATTCACCCCCATTCTCTTAGCCTGTCGAAGGAATCCTCCTTCCGTCCTAATCCCAGCTCACATTCCCACCTAACTTAGTGTCGTCAGCAAATTTGGAAATATTACTTTTAGTCAGTAAATGCAAATCATATGTAAAAACTGTGAATAGCTGAAACAGTGATCTTTGTAATACCTCGAAAGTCACAGCCTGCCAACTTGAAAATGGTTCATTTATTTCTATTATCTGATTTCTGCCCATTATCCAATTATCAATGCATGCCATTGTATTGGAGTTTAGAAGTCTGAGAGATGAACAATTTGATACATTTAAGTTTATGAAATGTAGATGCAGTAGTATTATTTCCCCTAGCTAAAACACAGTTACAGAATAAAGGCCCTATAATTTTGTCTGAGATGGACAGAAATTTCTTCACAAAGGATTGCGAATCTTTGGAATTGCTTACCCTGGAGGGTTATGGATACTCTATCCTTGATTAGAAGGCTCTGGAGGGTTATGGATACTCTATCCTTGTATAGAAGGCTGAGATACAGATTTTTAACCCCTCAAGGTTTCATGAGATACAGAGAGCTAAGATGAGTTGCAGCCCAAGATCAGCTATGATCATAGTGAATGGAGAAACAGGCTCACTGAGACACATTCTCTTCTCCTGACCTCATTCCTTAGATTCATATTGTGGAAGGACGATGAAATAGAGAACACTGATTTACGGATTGACAAAACAAGCAATAGCTGCATGAGAAAAAAAAACATTTTCTTTCAAACTATATGAATGCTTTTGATCTGGAATTCATTGCCTGATAGTGTGGTGGAGGGAGGTTTGATTGTGGCTTTCAAAAGTTAATTAGATCATTATCTGAAAAGGCAGTAGTGTGGCACTCGGCAAATTCTTTTTGCAGAGAGTCAGCACAGGCACTTCTGGGCTGTAAACACTCTATGATTTTAATGGTGTGATAAAGTACTTCATAAAAGCAACTTTCACCCACTCCCTATTTACATATTCTGGGAAATGTACAGCTGTATCCACTAAAGAATTTGTAGACAGATCAAAACTTCCATGACACTTCACGTTGATGCAAACGTTTGCTATTCTATGTGCAAACATGATTAGAAAAACCTTCAATAAATAGCCTAGAACTTTTGTGCTTTACTTGCAATGTTGTATAATCGTAGAACATCGCATCAGAGAAGAATGTAATTTAGCCCATTGTGACTCCTAGCATCTGGATACAGTTGTCCACTTAATCACATCTACTTGCCCTCTCCCTATACCTTTTAAAGGCCTTTATTTCTTTTACAAACATTTAGCTAACTGACTTTAAAAAGACAATGATGGATTCTGCTTCCACTGATCATGCTCAGGGAATCAATTCCATCTCTTAACAACCCTGCTCTTAAATTTTCTTCCAACCTTCAGATGAGTGAATAGCAATGGTACATTTAAGGGTAAGCTACACAAGCATATGAAGGAGAAAGCTCGATCAAGATTAGAAAAGATGGGAGTAAACAGAGCATAAAGTCTGGCACAGACCGGTTATTCTGAATGGCTGGATTCTGTGCTGTATACACAACGTAAAGGGACTGAAATATAAATGCCGGAACATTGATTTTGATTAACACAAATGAAGAGGACCAGCATTTGAGCGTTTGAAATGCCCTTTTCTTTATTTGTTCATGGGATTTTGGCATCAATAGCAAAGCCTGCAATTTTGCTCATCCATAATTGCCTTGGAGAAGGTGATGGTGAACTTCTTGAAACACTACAGTCCTGGGGGTCTAGGTACAGCTACAGGGCTGAAAGGAGTTTTGGGATTTTAACCCAGAAACAGTGAAGGAACAGTGATATATTTCCAAGATTGGATGGTGTGTCATTTGGAGTGGAACTTGCAGGGGATGGTGTTCACATGCACCTGCTTTCCTTGTCTTTCTAGATGAGACAGGTCATGCATTTGGAAGTTGCTGTCATAGGTGCCTTGGTGAATTGTTGCACTGCATCTTGTAGATGGGACACACAGCCACCAGTGTGAATTTGAGATGATGGAAGTCTCTCACCTGCACTTGCAGCCACCGTTAGTTAGATGGTTAGTCCAAGTCAGTTTTTGATCGATGGAAATTCCCAAGATGTTGACAGTGAGGGATTCAGTAACAGTTATGACATTGAATGTCAAGGAGGGATGGTGAGAATTTCCCTTGTTGGAAATGGTCACTAGTGCCACACATGTGCCAAGCAATATTATTCGCCATTTAGCCAAAAGACCTGGATATTGTTCGGTATCTGAGGAGTCGCAAATGGTGAACATTGTGTAGTCTGCAGTGAACATCCCCATTTCTGCTATGAAGGGAAGGTCATTGATGAAGCAACTGAAGATGGTTGGGCCTAGGACACTAACCTGAGGACCTCCTGCAACAAGGCGAGATGACAGACCTCCAAAAACCATGACTATCTTCATTTGACTCCAGTTTTCCTAGAGCTCCTTGACGCCTTATCATTTGTACTGATGCGTGCATTGAGGATAGGGATATTTTCACATCCTGTTAGTTGCTGAATTGTTCACTGTGACTGCAGAGCTCAGATCGGATCAGTTGGTTATGGGATTGTTGTGTGACTGTCTCTAGCATGCTGCTTCCTCTATTTAAGCTGAGTAGGCCTGAGTTGGAGTTTGCCCAAGCTGACACCTCAGTCAAATGTGGCCTTGCTTTCAAGGCCAGTCACTTCCGCCTCACCTGTGGAATGCAGCTCTTTTGCCTATGTTTGTCCTAAGTCCTAAGGCTGTAATGAGGTCATGAACCAGAACATATCTGAGTGTTAGTGAGTAGTTCATTTCTTTGCAAGTGCAGCTTGATAGCAATGTCAAGAACCTCTTCCATCACTTAACTGATGGTTGAGAATAGACTGTTTGGGCGGTAATTGGCCGGGTTAGATTTGTCCTGCTTTTTGTGTGCAGGACTTACTTGGGCAATTTTCCACTTTGCCAGGTTATGCTAGTGCTGTAATTGTACTGGAACAGCTTGGCCATGGTGCACCTAGTTCTGGAGCTCAAGTCTTCAGTACTATTGCTGGAACGTTGTCAGGACCCATAGCCTTTGCAGTAGCCGGTGTCTTCAACCATTTCTTGACATCGCATGGAGTGTATCAAATGGTTGAAGACTGGTCTCTGTGATGTTGAGGACCTGTGGAAGAGACCGAAATGGATCATCTACAGAGCTCTTCTGGCTGAAGACTGTGGCGAATGAGTCAGCCTTATCATTTGTACTGATGCGTGCATTGAGGATAGGGATATTTTCACATCCTGTTAGTTGTTGAATTGTTCACTGTGACTGCAGAGCTCAGATCGAATCAGTTGGTTATGGGATTGTTGTGTGACGGTCTCTAGCATGCTGCTTCCTCTATTTAACCTGAGTAGGCCTGAGTTGGAGTTTGCCCAAGCTGACACCTCATTGTCTGGTATGCTTGGTACTGTTCCTGACATGCCCTCTTGTACTTTTCACTGACCCAGCATTGATCTCCTGGCTTGTTAGTAATGGTAGAATGGGTGGTATGCCAGGCATGAGGTTACAGATTGCGTTGGAGTACAATTCTGTTACTGCTGCTACTAATGGCTCACAATCCATGCCAAGTTTGTCCCTTCCAGCATCGTGATAGTCTCTCACAACATGATGGAGGGCATCCTCACTGTGAAGATTGGACCCAGTATCCACAAGGTATGTACAGTGATCACTCTTACCAATACTGGCGTGGGTGGACACATCTCTGCGACAGGCCGATTAGTGAGGACGAGGTCAACATGGGAGCAGCACTGTTTCATCAGTGATGGTGGGCTGTGTAAACAGTAATCAGCAGGAGGTCTCCCTGTTCATGTCTGATCTAATGCAAAGTGATTTCATGAGATCTGGATTTAAGTTGGATGACTCCCAGGGCTACCTGTCACAGCTGTACACCACAGTGTCAACACCTCTGGTGTTGCCTGGGACACTGTAAGGTATTATCCCATGAATTTGACTATGTCACGTTGTTGTGTGACCAGCCTGTGAGAGAGCTTTCCCAATTTTGGCACAACCCACAGATATTAGTAAGGAGGATTTTGTAGGACCAACGGATCTGTCTTTGCTACTTCTGGTGCCTAGGTTGATGCCAGGTGATCCGTCCGATTTCATTTTTTTTAAATTCACATAACTGCATTGCCCATTGCTATTTGGCCTTGAACCGACTGGCTATCTAGGGCAGTTAGGAGGCAAGCACACTGCTCTGGGCCTGGAGTCACTTGCAGCCCAGACCAGATAAAACCAGGCTTCCTTCCCTCAAGGACGTTAGTGAACCAGATGGGTTTTTATGATCGTCGGCTTTAAATTCCAAATCTTACTGAATTCAAATTTCACCATCTTCTACGGTAGGATATGAACCTAGAACATTATTTTCATAGAATCCCTACAGTGTGGAAACAGGCCCTTTGGCCCAACAAGTCCACACCGATCCTTGGAACAACCCACTCAGACCCATATAACCCACCTAATGTACACATCCCTGAACACTACGGGCAATTTAGCATGGCCAATCCACCTAACCTACACATCTTTGGACTGTGGGAGGAAACTGGAGCACCCAGAGGAAACCCACGCAGACACGGGGAGAATGTGCAAACTCCACACAGACAATTCCCCGAGGTTGGAATCGAACCCAGGTCCCTGGTGCTGTGAGGCAGCAGTGCTAGCCACTGAGCCACCGTGCTGCCCTTTATTAGTCTGGGGGGGGCTCTGGGTTACTGCTCAGGTGACCTTACCATTATGTCACCTCCTCCCATCTTCATTCTAAAGGATGATCCTGACAGACATATATAATGGTGCTCAGCTGCTTCTTTTATACATTTTGAGAACAAAAGCTTTGTCATCTATTAAAACCAAGAATTGTGCATTGAAAATATCAGTGCCAAAATGATGGGTTTATACTGCAGCCTCAGAGATAGGGGACTTCCCTGTCAGCAAGACATGAGTGATCAATGAGAATCTCAAAATCCCCTTTAAATAAGTTTTTGAATAAACTTTCTAGGTCACATTTCAGATTGAAGTACTGTTAATAAATTTTAATAAATTCCATCAATACTTGCCTCTCGGTTGCAAGTCTCCGAATTGAAATCAAGTTTATTACTGTTCGATAAAGGGCGTGCTACAGGCTGTGATTCTGCCGCATTTTGAAAGCACTTTTTCAAAGCAACATTTATTTCAATTGTATTAATATCCAGTGTGAAAGGAGTGTACTTTTCAGAATCTTTAACTCTCCCCAAATGTAAAGCTGCTTAAATAATTCGTAACATGTACTTACATTGCGTGTCCACTTGAGCCTATCTGTATTGTAGCCCATCAGGTTCATGAGACAGATCACAAACATGTTCCATTCGGAATGATAGTTGGGTCCACCCGGTGCATTGTATGCGTTGTACCACTTGATTAAAACTTGTACCGCAACCTCTTTCGGAAGGATATATTTTATTGCTTGCAAGCATTTTTTCACTATCGGAAGTTAAACAAGACATTTTGATTTGTTGATCAATCTTCTGCCATGACATTCAGTAAAATATTTAGCACCGAAGTTGTACATATTTCATTTTCTGAATTGCCTGAATTTTTGATGTGACTAACACGTGTTTAAATACACTGTTCTCGCCAAAAAATATTAAGATTTGTTCGCTCTTACCCAATTGAGAGTTTGTTATTTCAGGTACGGTGATCCTAATTAAATTCCCATTACTCATTTCCTGAAGAGAAAGACACAAAATACTCAACATCGGAAGAGGGATGAAGACATACAGAGACAATGATGATTTTACAGAAATAAACTAAAACTATCTGCATCCAACACAATATCATGGCCTTGCAAAACACTTGGCAATGTCAGTATCCTGTCATTGACAGAGGCTGTCAAGCAAGCACCCCAGCACACTGGATGAATTAGGATCAGCTTTATTGTCACATGTACTCAAATGAGTACAGTGAAAACTTGACAAGTCGCCACCTTAGCTAAGAATCTTAGCGATTTGTTCATCCAATCATAGCTAGCCGAGCAACCTTTACGCGGTACATCAGCTATAGCTCAGCGGTAGCACATTCTTTTTGGGCTGTGAAGGCACTGGGTTCAAGTATCATTTCGGGACTTGAGCACAACACCTAGGTAGGTGGGGCAGTACTGATGGAATGCTGCACAGTTGAGGTGCCATCCTTCACATAAGACGTTGAATCCAGATCCTCTCAGCTCCCTCAAGTGGACATAAAAGATTTCACAGCAACATTCAAAAGTATACTGGAGCTTCCCCTAGTGTCCTCGCTGCTACTTACTCCTCAATCAATGTTGCCGTAGTTCTTATTTCTGTCTGAGACCTTGCTGTGTACAAACTGGTTGCTACACTTCCCACAATTATCACACTGACTACACTTAAAAAAATGTGCTGTTGGTTGTAAAGTCCTCTTTAGGGCATTCCGGGGTCATAAAAGACATGGCATAAATGCAAAGTTTTCTTTACTCCTATATTAGATGGACTTCACAGAAGCTGAACAAAACAGAAAGCAATTTAAGTGTGGCCATTATTCAAAATGCGAGTGACCCTTTCCTTGCCTTTCAGCACACATTTCATTACTAAGGGACAACAGCTACATGTTTCTGCCAGGTGTTCTGGTTTCCTCCCACAGTGCAAAGATGTGCAGGTTAGGTGGATTGGCCGTGCTAAATTGCCCGTAGTGTCCAGGGGTGTGTAAGTTAGGTGACTTTTACATGGGAAATGCAAGGTTACAGGTAAAAGGGTAGGGGGATGGGTCTGGCTCTTCCGAGGGACAGTGTGGACTTGTTGCGCCAGATGGCCTGTTTCCACGCTGTAGGGATTCTAGAATCCCAACAGACAGTAATGGGGCAGTAAGGTCCATATCCAACATGCCCCATACTGCAACAAAGGCAAAACAATGCAGATGCTGGAAAGTGAAACAAACACTGGAGAAATCCAGAAGGTTTGGCAGCCCCTGTGGAGATAGAAACAGGGCTAATGTTTCAAAAACTTATTCTGAAGATCAGTCATACCTGACTCAACAAAATAATTCTATTTCTCTGTACACAGATGCTGCCAGACCTAGAATCATAGAATTCTGACAGTGTGGAAGTAGCCATTCAGCCCATCGTGTTCACACTGACCCTCCAAAGAGTATCCCACCCAGATCCTGTCCGCTACCCTAGCCCTGTACTTCCCACAGCTAATCTACATAGCCTGCATATGCCTGGACACTACAGGCAATTTAGCATGGTCAATCCACCTAGCCTGCACATTTTTGGACTGTGGGAGGAAACCAGAGCACCCGGAGGAAACCCACGCAGACACGGGGAGAACGTGCAAACTGCACACAGACAGTCACCCGAGGGTGGAATTGAACCCGGGTCCCTGGCGCTGTGAGGCAGCAGTGCTAACCACTGAGGCACCGTGCTGCCCTGATGAGTTTTACCAGCATTCGGTGTATTTGTGCCCCGCACTGCAGCTATCCAGTAACTTGGCTGTGATAGGAAAATACTAAGCACATGTAAGCAGAGCCTGAGCTCTCAAGCTTCCCAATTTTTGCTGGAAACCTAACAGTGTTGATGCTTTGCCTGGCCAAGTACACAAAACTACCTTACCAAGGTAACTCTGTTTTGGACAGGATCCCGCAGGGAGTGAATGTATGTTCCAATCTGGTGGAAAGTGCAGTCGTCCATGTACGAGTCCTGAATCTTTGTGGAATCATTCAGCTCAGGTACTGGGGAGGGCCACACAGCCTTTGGATTAAAAAACAAATAAACTCCAATGAATAACTAAATCCACAGAAAACCCTGCCACTGACTTAACTGCCTTAAAATGTTTGGAAAAATAATAATTGTCCCTTACAGAAAAGTGGTTTGCTATTGACTGGTCTAAATAACATTCACCAGCCAGAAACTATACTGGACTTTGAGAAAACTCGCTATCCACAACTTAAAATGGCAAATTGCTCCATATACATCTTTTTCTATTACACTAACCATTTGAGAAATCCGTGCTCCTCAAATCCTGATCTCTTGTGAATTCCTGATTATTATTTCTCTACCAGTGTTTTCAATTGCTTAGGCCCCAAGATCTGGGATTCCATTCCTACGTCTCTCCATCTCAGCCTCTTTTTCTTTGAAGACACTTCTTAAAACCTACCTCTTCAACCAAGTTTTTGTTCATCTGGCCAATTATTTCCTGATGTGGTCCATTGTCAATTTTTGTTACCTGTGCAGCACCTTTCACTATTTTTTTTCCTTTATTCATTCACAGGATGAGGGTGTCCCTGGCTAGGCAGCATTTATTGCCCATAGGGCATTAAGAGTCAACCACATTGCTGTGGGTCTGGAGTCACATGTAGGCCAGACCAGGTAAGGATGGCAGTTTCCTTCCCTAAAGGACATTAGTGAACCAGGTGGGTTTTTCCTGACAATCGACAATGGTTTCATGGTCATCATTAGTTTCTTAATTCCAAATACTTATTGAATTCAAATGCCACCATCTGCCATGGCGGGATTCGCTACATTACAGGTGTTGCGCAGTTATAAGATGCGGCCGCTGTTGAAATGCTATTGTGTCAAAGCCTACTTTACAAACACCTGTCCCACACCACTGCATCGAGTACCTTCAATAATAAAGGGCTGATATGGCTAGAAAATGATGTCAGTCCTGTTACATCAAAAACTTACACAGGGAAACTTCTCCCTTGAAGAGCATCACTCTTTGTGGGACAGTTGATAATCCTTCATTGGGCCTGCTGTCAGTACTATTCGTACATATTACTCATTATCAATAGTGTAAGTATGAGAGCAAGGTTTCCAGAAGCAGCAGTGTTAGTTTAAGAACTCCTATCATATACAGTCATAGAGATTCACAGTTCCCAAAAAGACCCTTCGGCCCATCGTGTCCATTCTGGTCAAAAACAACCACCCAACTATTCTCAGAGATAGTAAGAACTGCAGATGCTGGAGTCAAAGATAACACAGTGTGGAGCTGGAGGAGCACAGCAGGCCAGGCAGCATCAGAGGAACAGGAAAGCTGACGTTTCGGGTCAGGACCCTTCTTCAGAAAAGGGGAGGGGGAAGGGAGCTCTAAAATAAATAGAGGGGAGGGGTGGGGCTGGGGAAGATAGGTGGGATGGTGATAGGTGGGTGCAGGTAGGGAGTGGTGGGGATTGGTCAGTGAGGTGGGAGGGGCAGATAGGTGGGAAAGGAGAGGGACAGATTGTGTCAGGTCAAGGAGGCGGAGTTGAGAGGGAGGGTTGGTTGGTCATGGGATGAGGCCGGGGGTGGGGAGATTTTGAAACTGGTAAAATCCACGTTTAGGCCATCGGGCTGTAGGATCCAAGGTGGAATACGAGGTGCTGTTCCTCCTGTTTCCGGGTGACGTCACTGTGACACTGGAGGAGGCCCAGGATGGACATGTCACTGAGGGAGTGGGGCGGGAAGTTAAAATGGTTCGCCATCAGAAGGTGTTGTCATTTGTCGAGAACAGAGCGCAGATGCTCTACAAAGCGGTCTCCGAGCCTCCGCTTAGTCTCACCGATGTAGAGGAGGCCACATCGGGACCAGCGGATGCAATAGAACATGTTGACGGATGTGCAGGTGAACCCCTGTCTAATGCGGAAGGTTTGTTCTGTGCCTTGAATGGAGGTGAGGGGGGAGGTGTAGGGGCAAGTGTAGCACTTCCTGCGGTCGCAAGGAAAGGTGCTGGGGGCGGTAGGGTCAGTGGGGAGTGTGGAGCGGACGAGGGAGTCACGGAGAGAGCGGTCTCTACGAAAGGCAGATGGGGTGGGGAGGGAAATATACGTTTGGTTGTGAAGTCGGATTGTAGGTGGCAGAAGTGGAGGAGGATGATATGCACCACTGTACACCAACTATTCTAGTCCCATTTTCCAGCACTTGGCTTTATATGCCTTGGCAGCTTTGCTGAACATCTGTGGACCAAAAAGTGAAGAATGAATATCTACCTCTAAGGAGTTGGGGCAGGGGTCCACCGACAGAAGAAACATGGCCAGGTAGTACTGAATAGTAAAGTGCTATTGCCACACTACATGCTGAAACATAATTCAGAACTGAATAATCCACATTGGTCATTTCCTGGAAGGGGAAAATTTTGAAGCAGAACAGCATTAAGCAACATTCAAATGAACAAGCTGGTCACATTCTTACTTCATCCAGTGCACCGGGGTGCCTGCTTGAAGGTCTCGCTGGGGTGCTGACACTGCCAAGTGGAGTGCTAGGCCGTGGCAGTGTGTTGGATGCAGAAAGCGAGGGAGTTGGAAGTCCAGCAATAAACACCTTTCCTACCTTCAAAAAGAAACAGAATTTATGCTACACATATGTACATTAATTTACAAAGGCATAAACAATCATGGTGACACTGAAATAGGCTACATCATGAGTAGGGACCTACACTCCCTCAGAAAAAAGATGCACGTCCAGACATTATGCCTTTTTTTTAAAAATTAAACAGAAACATGGGGGACAATAGATTCCTCCTGCATTCGCCATAGCAAAGCCTCGATCAGACTTGGCAACTAATCAGTACTGTGTTTGCCAGCAAGTATAAATTGTTGCTCCTTTCAAAATTTCACATTCATGCATCTGTTCTGATAAGCAATGGTCGAAAATGTTGGACAACATGTCTCTTTATGCATCTGTCTACACCCAGAGCAGAAGGGGAATGAGCTAAAATTTCTTCAGAAAAAGTGGCTGTCCAAATGAGGCAACCTATATCAATCAAGCAATCGAACCACATTACAACTGGCTGCACTTTTACATTTGATTGCAAACTCCTTATCCTTGCAGTTCCTGTCCTAGATTATGATCCAGTGACTCCTAATGTTGTATGCATGATTGAGTCAAGATGGGGACACAGAACTAGGATCTGCTCTACACACTCAGCATCACTGATGAACACCGACTGTCACACATAATACCCATTCAAGTGAGGGTCTGACTGGAGGGTGCATGCCAAATAAAGAACAGTACGTTAACAAAGGGAGGGAGGAGTGGTCAAAGTCTCCACAATTATGGGAAAATGGGGAGGAATTTAACAAGCATAACTTCTTTCTTAAAAAAAGATAAGCATGCAAATTGCAGAAGCAATTCAGCCACAATTGATAAGGAGACCATTCAATCCATCATGCCATAGAGTCATACAGCACAGCAACAGGCCCTTCAGTCCAACTCGTCCATGCCAACCGAGCTTCCCCAAAGTGAACTCGTCCCATTTGCCTGCATTTGGCCCATGGCGCTGTAAGTGGCAACTTGTAAACTTGTCACTGTCCTCATGAGAATACATTAAAGTGACAATGAAGCTATTTCTAATTCATATCTCTCTAAACCTTTCCTAATTACGTACCCTGTCCAAATGGCTATTAAATGATGTAATTGTACTTGCCCTCTACCACTTCCTCTGGCAATTTGCCCCATATAGGTACTGTGTGAAAAGGCTGTCTCTCCGATCCCTTTTCTGCACCCGTTCTTTGAGCACTGACTTAGTGCCAAACTCTTCACTTTTTCCAAAACCTGCATATTGTTTATATTTTAATAATCATCCACAAAGTCAGATGGTCATGGGCTCAAGTTCCATTCCATCATCCAACTTGCAACCAACATCACTTTAAAAACAAAAAGCAGATCATCTGGTCATTTTGATCTTATTGATTGGGGTAAGAGGTGAACAGAAAGTGGCTGTTGCAGTTTTCTAGAATACAACAATGACATCAGCTCAAAAGTTCTTCATTGGCTGCAAACTGAATGAAATTGTGAAAGGTGCATTGCGAACAATTATTTTTGACCTTTTATCACTTTCCCGACCACATGCGCTACTTTTACCTTCAAAATAAATAGCTTGAAACTATATAGGGCGCATTAATCAGCGTGGGAATTCTTTGCAAATGTTATCGTAGCAACCTACCCGAATAATGCCAGTGTACAGCACAAGATTGCCATTACTTTCTAGGACCACCATTGTGTTGACATTCTGTGCAAAAGAAAAAGACAAGGAAGGAATAAAGCACGCTGAAGTTGCAGAACTGACAACTCCATTTCACACATTTTGGAGTCTAAATAATTTGTAAAATAGACATTATGATTATATACACAACTAAAAGTGAATACAGTTTAATAGAAATTAAACAGAAGAAAAGTTAAAACCTCTGGTAAATACATATGTGAAAAGGAAGAACAGATCACTGTGTCTTAGCGTCCACTGTTTGTCCTATGGGCAAAGAAAAGCCTAAGAAATACCCTTCATCCGACTGGAGCAGATGTTAGGGAATTAATCCTCCTATCCTCATCTCAGCTCTGATTCTGTGAAAGGGAACTGAATTTGAGTGCTGTATTAGCCCCACAGCAAGCATTCATAGCTCAGTCACCGTGGACAAGTAATGGGAGCAGTCTGAGCTTCCCCCAGTTGCGAAGACGAGCAGGAAGTAAAGCAAAAGGCCTTCAGTTCACAACACACTTAGACAATTGGAAGGAACTGGATTTGCCACCAACAAACTCTATGACAGTGGTTGTAAAGTTAGATCACAGAATCCCCACAGTGTGGAAGCAGGCCATTCGGCCCATCAAGTCTGCACCAACCCTCCGAACATTATCCTACCCAGGCCTACCCCACTATCCTATCCCTGTGACCCTGCATTTCCCATGGCTAAACCAACTAACCTGCATATTCCTGAACACTATACGCAACTTAGCATGGATGAGGAAATAAAATATCAGAAAAACTCGCTGCAGAATACTTCTACCTTCAGTGTGAATAAGTTAATAAATTTGACAATTTAGCCAGTCTCATTTTCCTCCACACCTTTATCTGTTGGAGGGATGCACAACTGTGAATCTAACCCACAATTTTCTGAAAGTTTAACACATTTTGTAATCATAAAAAAAATGATTGTGAAGCACAACCCCTCACAGAGTCATAGAGATGTACAGCATGCAAACAGACCCTTCGGTCCAACTCATACATGCCGACCAGATAGCTTATATAAATCTAGCCCATTTGTCCCACATCCCTCTAAACCCTCCTATTCATGTACCCATCCAGACGCCTTTTAAATCTTATAATTGTACCAGCCTCCACCACTTCCTCTGGCAGCTCATTCCAAACACACACCAGTCTCTGTGTGAAAAAGTTACTCCTCGGGTCCCTTTTAACTCTTTCCCCTCTCACTTTAAAGCTATGTCCTCTGGTTTTGGATTCCGCTACCCTGGGAAAAAGACCTTGGCTATTCTCCCTATCCATATCCTTCAGGATTTTATTAACCTCTATAAGGTCACCCCTCAGCCTCCAACACTCCAGGGAAGATAGCCCCAGCATATTCAGCCTCTCCTTATAGCTCAAACCCTCCAAACCTGGCAACATCCCTGTAAATCTTTTCTGAACCCTTTCAAGTTTAATATCATCTTTCCTACAGCACAGAGTCCACACATCCAATAGAATGTGCATCAAAACAGGGTCAAACTACGTGAATACAGCAAGGCAAACCAACTATTACTTCACTTTCAAGTGAAACTATCTGACCATACAAGTATAACTTTCCTGTTGCGCACAATCGATTAAAGCAGAATAACATCTAAAGCAAATCACGCCGTTCAAAAGTAGATATTTGCTAAAATCTCTAAACCGAAACAAACTAATTGCTGCTCCTTCCTCGGTCCAACATATCTTCAAGCCACATCATATTAATGCCAGGAAAACATTGCGTGGTCTTAACTTAAACAATTCCACTGAGTGAAATTAAGAAAATTAAACTGCCCTGCTATGGGCAAGCGCAAAGTTCCTGAACTGTGAACAAAACAGTGTTGCAAATGGTTGTAGAGGCGGGCAGGTAGAGAGCCTGCTTGAACAGACCATCTTACTTAATTTGATTTGAGTGGTATCTTTGAAACTGTGCCTACTGATAGAGTGCCTACTGATGTCATAAGTGAGGACCGTAATACCTTCCGGGAAAAAAAACAAAGGAAAGATTGCTAATGGAATTGTTATGATGCCTGGAGCATCTCTAATTCACGAACAAAAACAAAGTTGCTGGAAAAGCTCAGCAGGTCTGG